CGAGAAAAGAGACGCTACCGTGTTGGGAGGGCCTAAGCTAACGTAAAACCACTGATAGTTATTCCGAACGTTCTCATTTCCATGCCATCTTTTGCGGTATGACCAATAGTTCGTTTAGTCCTCACTTTCAAGTTAATTTGATGATTGGCTAATCCTTGCTCTGATTATGTTATCGTTTCGAATTCTGGCAGGGTCACGTGTCATGCATAAATGCACACATGTGTTTTTGGGTTGAGTGACTATCCTTCTCGGCGTGGTGAATTCTCCCGTTCAGATCAGGCTCCTTCACCATTTCGCCAGGGTTGAATTCGGTGAATCTTGGCCAGCCAAACGTGCGCATTATAACCTTTCAGGACGCTATCGAAACAACTGTTCACGGGCCAGGCATACGATCGGAAAGTTCAACCGTCGACCAAAATGATTCCGCCGCCTTAAGTATAGTTCACTTAAGGGGATTAGCCGAAAGTTTTGGTGAACAGCAAGGAGATAAATAAATGTTTTACCCGCAGGTTACGAATTTAACATGAGGGAAGCCGGCTTACAGGCGCCATCAAAGTGATGATGGTAGGGAAGTCTGTGAAACCATAGCGGTTCCGAACGTTACGGAAGGCACGACGTTAAACTCTGTCATAATATCAAATGTGTTCGCTAGTTATGAAAGAAAGAAAGAAGAAGAAGACGTTACGTTGCTGCAAATATACGTCAAAATTTTGTGTCCGTTGTTCGCCCTACAGGCAATCGAAATGTTTGAGACGTCCGTAAAGTTCCATGCTTCGCCATATGACCATTTACTTTGGTGCAACTTCAAATGCTTATGGCCTCTATGGCCAACAAGAACTCAGTTCAACGATTCCAGGTGTCGGTAAGTGTCTACACAGTCATGTAGTCCAGGTGAATATCTCAGTTAAAGCTGTTCCTACTCTTTGGGTTTCGTACATAGTAATATAGATTTATGCCATTAGAAATAAGTATTCCGGTGCAAAGGAATGAACTTTGGAAGACTGTGTTTGAAAGACTTAACATTCTTTTTCCTTCTATCAACACTTCAGATACTTACTTGTAGACAGTTGTTAGCGAACAGTCAGACCCAAAGACCAATAATTTGAAGGATTTGTGGAGGTTAAGAGTGGTTAGCTTAGGTTGGGGTAGCGTAAAATTTGGGACTTATGACTAATAACTATACAATAATGATTAACTGCTGTATTATGAATTAAACGTGAGAGAAATCGGTTCACAGGCATCAGGGGATTGGTAATGTTTGGAGGAGTACAACTGCTTCAGCCTCCAGTTTCATACATGTAGAAAGTCAGCGGGGTCCGCAATCGTACCAAAATCGTCTGCAAGAGTGTCGTGCTCCTCAAGCCATAAACAAGTCAAAATGCGCGAGACATCGAATGTGAGCTAGAAAAACGTCATAAAAAGTACATTCTTCTTCCGCCTCGTGTATTGGTGCCAATAATAATTTTCTTATCCTCATATAATCTGCCCTTGTATGCTGTCTTCTTCATCCTGGGATTAACTCGGGAAGCGCATAGGAAGGCTTTTGGTAACCTATCATAACTGGGGAGGCTTTTCTGCCCACGGATGTGTTGTGCGCCTGCCTCTCGTTTCCATCCCGTGGCTGAAGGCTATAGGAGTCCCAGTGACCTTACAGAAGATGGATGAACTCCAAATGCGGATGCCTGACACCAAAACACTGTTAGGTTTAAAGCAAGTAAAAAAACATGAGTCAGTGAACCTGCCAAGGTGTCAGTAGGTGATTTCAGGCTGAATGTTGAAACCAAACTCTTGGAACAGCGCTATCAAGTGATGGAAACCCTGGAAGATTTACTGATAAAACTTAAAGAAGCGAACCACCCATCACCCTGCTACAGCCCTTGAGAAAACTTTGATCCTGAACCTGGAATCCGAAGGGGATATCACAAGCGAAGTGTTGAAAAGCCGTCTGTTGGAGTGCTTCAATAGTACCTTTTATGCTACTTGACTGAAATTCTTTCTCAGCCGTCATCTGGTTCAAAACTGCATGAAGGAAGGGCTACCACTTATATCTACATTTGTATGTATCTAAAATTTGCATACTCCTGAGGCGCTGACCATTTGGACGTCTAAAGCGGACCCCCGGGAAAGCGCTGCTGAATATCATGCGGTTTGCCTCTCCAAAGGCGAACGAAGAAGAACAACTCAATCCACATGCGAGCGTCAAGTGGGGTTAAGCCATTTAGCTTTTCGAGATTCATCCTCCTAAGTTACCTACACAATCAAGTGATACTATTCCAAAGGCCTACTTTTTCACCACCTGCGCATAGCTGAATTGGCTGTGCATAAACAAAAACGAAACTTCTTGTCCTCAAACATTCTGTGGAATGGCTCTCTCTACACTGACCTTAACAACTACAGTTGGCTAACTTGTTGGTTCCACTTCACTCCATTGTGTACGCTTCGCTTCTGTTAACATCATCATCATTTTACACTCCACTGACGCCTTTTGACCTAAACTTTACTACCTAATGTTAGTTTTTCTCCCATTTGCTGGCCCATCAAGCATGTTTTTAACATCATTACCACCATTTTACACTTTTTTGGAGAGCGCTGATCCTTACCCCACCACTTGTTATCACTCCACCCCTTGGTTGCCCTTGATTCGTCAGTAAAAAGTGTACTTTCTAATTTTCTGTCAGAATGGGATGTTCCAACTAAGCTTACTAATATTTTGAGAGCCCTGCATAAAAGCACTTATGCAAAGCGACGGCACGGTCATCCTTCTGCACCGTTCCAGGCTAATAGTAATGTTGGGCACGTTTATCCGATTTCGTCACTTCTTCATCCTTGCTCTTGATGACACAATCGAGAAAGCCGTGAAATTGGCGTGCAGTGATAGTATGGACCTTTTGCTAGACCTAGGTATTTATAGACTTTCCCGTATGAACAAGATCTTCCCATCCCACTGCAACATATAAGCCAGAGATTTCACATATTTATTAGCCGATCTCAGCTTTTAAGTCTGGTGAGTGATTTGGACTCCCAAACTGTTAGGTGAATCTGAAATACTGTCATAAGTTCGTACCCACATTCAACCTTGATGGTGTATAGCTGGAGGTATAAAAGAGATTCGTCCATTTGAGTAGTTAGTTGAATGCTGATACTGGTCAGACTGGAAGACATTCACTTGCATATCGAAAGCTGAGGCGAAATGCATCAACGTGGAGCTAATACACGGCGTATTAACCCACTGTCCATCAACGTCGCGTCTTATATTGGTTTTCTGAGGGAACTGACTGGTTTATGTGTACACTTCAACATGCACAAAAGTTCTCAGGACCACTTGCGTGCTAGGAGGCAAAGAGTTTGAGTGAATGAAAAATTCTACCTATGAAACATGATTACGAGCGTGGTTTCCTAGTGCACCTCACAGGGACCTCCTTCAAGCAATATAGAATTGAAATAAATATTGAGGATGTTCACGTTCTCATATTTGCTGTTTGCTGATGGTTTTAAGGTTTCCAGGGTTGTTCATCATAATGAACATGTGTTGGGGCTGTGGACTACCTCGAGTAAGCTGACAGGACAATCTGAACGCTTTCGTCTGGCGGGTGCATATTAATGAGCTGTGGTTAGATGCCTGATTATCTTAATTCGCTGGGACAATAGACAATACATTGCGTTAGGTGGAAAAGAAGTCTGAAAGTTGTTGTTAGCTAAAGTATGAAGGGAATTATACGTCGTAACGTGGCTGCGGCTAGGAAACTTAATATATTGTGATCATTTTGCCGGGTCGTCCGGAGCAGTGAAGAGAATGTATTGAGGAAACTACATCCAGATACGTAAGACATTGTCTCTCTTATTTCATAAAAGAATCCAGACCTTGCCCTGTTGTAGAATCAGATATTCCGAAACCAGCACAAAGAGTAGGTTTTAAGATACTGTCATACGAATCGAGAGAAAAGTTTAAAATTTCGTCCATCATCATTTCCTATTGAAAGAGGTAAGCCTATTTTGGCGTATCATGTCTTTAAAAGTGCCTGACTTTTGAACGAGTCAACCTTTTTATCTCCTTTAAGAGTAATCATCTAAGACGCCACTTTAAAAAGGTTCAAAAGTCTTAGACGACCAAAAGTACACGTGGAACTAGGATTCTCTGATGGAGTGGTCAGGAAATTGAACTTGTCACCACAGGAAAAAGATAATAGCTCCTTCAGAGGACTTTTTCAAAGAGAAATTGATTTTTTAAATACATATGTACCGCAAAGAGTACTGCAAGCTGCTTGGCCTACTAACCTCAATGGTGGAGACTAGATGTTCGAAAAAACAGTGGTTACAAGGAATAGATTTTATGATTAAAGCATTAATTCAGAAGCTTTTATACTGATATTTTGTATCACCAATATTTATCAACTGATAATCTTTCATAAGGCAAAATAGTTTTCATGAAGAAAATATTGTTTTACCGGTTCACTGCATTCACATGAATCACAAGTGCGTTTATATAAAAAGTAAACAATGAGGATGACTACGGTTGTTTAGATAATGTATCATTTGATGTGAAAAGATTACTGAGTATTGGGAAACTTCTATATGGATTGCAGGTCGAAATTTATACTTTCCACCGTCAAGTCCTATTTTCATCTCCACAACGAGAACATTGATGGATTAGAGAAAGAGGCACATGTGAATAGTTTCTTGGATAGCTTGAATGTATTCATTTTAGCTTGTCACCTAGACAAAAGTGGTGATTTATCATTCAAAAACGAAGTTAGTGGAGCATTTATATATAAAATTGTCAGGTTTCATATGAGGAAAACATTAAGCAAATGTTGGTGTTTATTAAGCTGCAACCGACTCATGTAGACGAAAAAAACTGGAAGTCAACTGTTATGGTCTGTTCGATTCCTACGTCACCGGTTTCGAGTTTTTACAACTCGATTAGCAAATTGTTTGCTCCATTGTTGCTAAAAGTATATCAAAATTATGTAGTTTATTGTTTTATAGAATGATGGAAATCAATGCTTCAAGACCCCAAACTGCAAACAGCGTTAGCTGATCTAGCGGCTGGGTTATCAACGATTGTCAGTGAAGGTGCTGACCCAGAAAATTCAACAAGTTAGTGATGTTTATCAAATACCTTAAAATTATAACTGTTGAATATATATATATATATATATATATATATATATATATAATCAATTCTACCTTTTATCTTTCCTCTAATTACTGCAGTGGATTCGGAAGGTTTTTGATACTAAAGGAAGACACTTTTGCATAAGCCTTATCCCTAAATGGAGCACATTTACTTCTGTCAATAAATTCCCTTGAAATGTTTAAGGGTTGCATATTTTCTGAAATATAGGTTTCAAAAGTATTTAAAAGGAAAACTCAGCCCGTATTTTGATGCAGTTTGCTTATACTTGTTTTGAATTGTCACCTCTACAGACTTTAAACTTTGTTTACCTTTTTTTAACATACCATGAGCAAGAATTTCCACTGTGAAATTTTAGTTGTACTATAAAGGGTTTACTATAGAAACGAAATACTGGTTGAAGATATATCAAAGTTTTTATACTTCACTTAAGATTATAACATAAAAAGTGTAAGTGATCATTAAAATTCCTCCTCTCTAAGGTGCAAAAGATGCATAAAATACTCTTTCATAAACGGCCTAACCCTTAAAGCTTTTATTTGCTTTGTGTACCGATTTTTGGTTTAAGTACAAGGCCATGAATCAATATTAATTCTTTCTAACTGGATGTATAAACCTGTTTAGGCCTCTTTTAAATGCCTCAGTTACTGGATCGAGCCCCATTTCTCTGACATTTACTTCCAAGAGTTGTTTACTAGACGTGGAAATCTGTACTCTATGGAGAAAATGTTCGTCTTTTGATTTCGTATCAACTTGCTATGTTCTTGGAGGTTTTTCGACTTGTGGAAAGTAAGAGAGGAGAAATATCCGTTTCAAAGACAGTCCTTAGAACCTTGTATAACATGGTTAGATTTCCCGTGTCTCCGGTAAGATGAAGAGGAGAGGTCTAGCTCCTAAAGTCGTCCTTCGTAGGTCAGGCTAGCCATCGCAAAGATCATATGAGTAGCCATCCTCTGAACTATTTTCATGGGATACGATTCACTTTTGAAAAAAAAGTGCTGCCTGCGCACAGTTTTCCAGTTAAGATCCAACTAGTGATCCACATAAGGTGGTGATTATTTTGCTAATTATTGTGGTTAAAGCTATACCTAATGCCAAAATTATCCTGAAACTTCCAGCTGGAATCAATCATATATGTGCTACGGTCCTCAGATCATGATCTATTATGACTTCTAGGGAATTATGGGCCAATACTGATGGCAGACGACTCTCATTAATACCGTTGGTGTTACCATCTACATGCCACATGCACATGCTTACACACTTATCTTCTTTGATAAGCATCAGCCATTTTCTGACCTGGTTAACAGGCTGTTTAGATATGTCTGAAATGTGCATACGTCATCTTCATCCCTTAGTACCCAAAGGGCTTTATTGTCAGTTTAGGTAACCGCGAGAATTTCGTGATACTCAGCTCTTCATTTCTGCACAGGGAAATCTCAGGGGACTTGCCTAGTGGTATTTCATTCAGTACTGACTACTAAGAGGAGACTTGAGAATTTACCCTTACTCTTTGTGTCCTACCAACGAGTAACTCTTATCCATGCAAGCAGATTATCAGCGATCATGATTCTTGCCGGATCATGAGAATATATGCACCTTACTGAAGTTTGTAAAGATGACATCTACATGCTTCCCACCATCCTTATGGTTGACCAAATTTTCTTTAACTCGGAAAGTTCGGCAATCACGAAAAGCCTCTGTAAAACTCATGCTGCAGTCACGGACACAAAGCGTTACTTTCCGAGTGGACTTTGATAGCTTTCGTGATTACCCTTGCTATAGTTTTAACTAACGCACTAGTCAAGCTTATCGGTTTATAATTTCCTTGGTGTCGCCTAGTGCTTTTCTTGTGTATAGGTGTGACTATTGCATCTTTTCAGTCATGTAGGGGGTATACCTTGATTGAGAGACTTTCTAGACACGGTAGTCAACGAAACAGTTGCGTATAGTGCGAGCTTTCTCAACAGCTTTAGTTCAGATCATCCGCTACCTTTGATTTTGTCATAAATGGAGTGCATACTGCTCTCAATATGTCACTACCTATGTAAACCTGATATAAGGTTTTTAGTATCAGAAGCATAGTAAAGCTTACTTTTGGTTTTTTCTTTTGCGTAAAACTAATATATGGAAGCTGAGTGGTGATCACGTCACTCTTTGGAAACAACATGTCTGTGCCTTGACAAAAGCTTATGTAACTACAGGTCATTCCTAAATTATGAATAAAAACTTCTCGCCCTTTGTAATCTGCTAAAAAAACTTTATCCCGACACTGTTTCGAAAAGAGTGGGTACGACGAAAGTCTTCTCATATTCTAGTAAGAACTCTGAGATATGATCAATGTTTACTTTGATGTCTGTTTTAATCCACACCTTAGGGTGAAATTATTATTTCCGAATTAATTGGTGGTATCATGGTGAGTTATTTACAACTATAACATTTGAAATACCATGTAAAATAGGAGAGCGTCACTGGTTAGTAACCTATCCCAGTACGTTAATTTACTAATGGTATCATCGTGTGACCGGTTTCACAACTTATCTTGTTTATGAGATAGTCATAGAGGTCAAAGTATTTTTACGGAAACCTATCTGACTCTGATGGTGATTGTCACTAAGAAACCTATAGCTCCTTCATTGTTTAACAGTTACACTTAGTCTCTTGATCTACAAATGATCAGTGGAAGGGCGAACTTCAAATTGCTTTAAGCACATAATAATTTGTTAAACAGTTTAAAACTACTCATAGAAGGTTTTATTGTGATTACGAAACTGCTTATTCCAAACTGTAGATGAGTAATTCATGTATTGTCTGGGTTTTGACAATCAAATATTAGGTTTCACAAAGTTCTGCATCATTCTGTAGTTCATCAGAGCAAGTGATTATGATAAATGAAACGAAATGAAATTTCGGTGAGTTTCACTCAGTGTAGTGCCAAAAATAGTTACAGCCTGCCTCCATCGGTTGATGAATTTAAATACGTATACAGACTACCTTTCATTCTATTGAAGGACCACGTCTTACATAAGTAACTGATATGTCTAAATAAGCTCACTCATAAACTTATGATTTTTAGTACTCTGTATGGATAGCTGCAGCACTTACTTTTGACTTTCAGTCAATCGATTTAATTGTCTTCTAAAAACAAACAGCTCTTACTTATTCCAAATATAATTCTAAAAGCCAGGATAGTAATTTTTCTTGGTCTTCATCATAAGCGTTACTAACAATGAATAGCCATTCCACCAGTAACATTCAAACTTGGCTCATCGAATGCCTTAAATTCGTCTTTATAAGTCACCAGTATTAAAGTTAGGTAAAATTATAATTTATTGGGCTGGGCTTTCATATAAGTTCACATGCACTAACGATCACCCCTTAGCACAAAAACGAAGACGCAACACAACAATGTGCAGATGATGCAATATTATATCAGCTTTGTGATCCTGTTTTACTTGAAACTCGTTTTAACCCTGAAGTAGTTTCTAGGTATTGGGAAATGTTAACCACCAGCAAACTGATACATACAATATGTAATACTTACTGTATTAAATTTTTACCTATCTATTGGAGGCGGCTGATTTGCTCCCTGTAGCGAACTACCTTTTCATTCTAACTTAGGTCATCACCACACTAATTAGTTTTTAAGCTATATTTTATGTTGCTAACCAATGCACTATTTTCGGTAGGATGCTTGATGCACATGGTAACATGACTGTTGATAAGAAATGCGGTTTATATTTCATTTAGGCATTTCTAATCTTATGGATGAAGTGAATTACTGGCGTAATAAGTCACAATCTTGTTCAAATAACAGTCCAGGTGAAAAGAAGCGTTGTAAGTTCTTTGCATCTGTAATGGATGGTCCAGCGCAAGAATGCAATCGCATTGAGTCTGCATCTCAATTAGTAATGAGTGTGAAGAACTATCCATCGAACAAACCAACTTCTCAAGCTGATGACTTGCAAAATCAACCTTCTTTTGGAACTGGTTTAATAGATTTGATTGACGTTCTTGACTCACTTCTAACAGATACTTTGGATGATCTATGGAGATGTTCAGACCCACGTGCATCTCAACCTTATCCAGAGCAAAGAATGCGTCAGCTTATTGAAAGTCTGAGTTATTGGACAATACGTGTGATTCAAGGTTTTTTGGGTAGTATGCAAAATGTGTCCAAGGAAACGGAAATGGCTACCTCAAATTTGTGGATTTTACCTTATAGCGAAGTAAGTGGAAAGAAGCGTTTATAATGTGTATCCGTCTTTGTGGATTTTGGACTGACGAAGGTATGGTTGTTAGTTCATGACTATAATTAAACGGTAGTACTTTCCGGACTTCTTTCAAGCGTCCGCCTACACATCTTGTCCTCTTTTACAGGGGTTACATTATTCCTATTTCATGGTTTTTCCATTCATGTTTATTTATTTCAGCAAACTTTATCAAATTTCTTATTCTGACCATAGATGCAACTGCATCCGATATTATAGTCACAATACCTGTCTAATGAGTCTAGGAAAAAGTATTTTTTGTTGATCTACCTTGCAAATTTCAACATGCGTTTCCATAAGAAGTATGAATATTCCAAAAAATATTTTTGAAGGCACGTCTGAAAATTTACTTTTTAGGATAAAAAACGAACTAAGCGAAGTTTATTTCTTTTCAATTGGATCTTTGCATTCGACTTTATACTAACATATAGATTTTGCATTCAACAACAAAATTCAGTGGTGGTGAGTTAACTGACTATAATGATTATAAATCTAAAGTTACTCATGAAGTTAATAATTAGAGAAAGAAGATGGAAACTAATGATTTCGGCAGCTACATGCAATCATTAGAAATATCAAATAAAGCAAAACAGGTATACTAATTTACTGAAGGTATGACAACTAACATAAAAGTTGGGTGAGTAAATACATGTTAAGAGAACTATGTATTAATAGGTAGACTAAAAATTTAGAAGACAGTTAGTGGTCTGAGGAGAGTGGAGGTTCGTTTGTTAACAAATTTTCAGTTCATAATTCAAGAACTGAAATTCATTAAAGTTGAAAAATAACTTACCCTGATAGCCAAGGTTATGGTAGAGGTTGTACAAATTTCTCCCGAATACAAAAATTTGGTTTTTAGAGGGGCATGACAATAGCTTCTGCCATATGTAGCAGGCGAATACATACACTAGGCCGAAGACTGAGTGGTATACGGTAGATAGCTTTAAACTCCTGGCTTATATTCACTTTATGGTGAGTATCTACCAAGTGGGCAAGCGACGAATATTTTGGTATCTCCATCTGTCCTTAAGTCAGCCAGGATAGATGGTGTTCAGATATTCTATGAAGAACTTACCAAATTGTACATCTTGTGCAACTTTCTCTACAGGAATATTCAAACTGACAACTGCATACACAACAGGTAGAATTGGAAGTCTGCCTTAATATCCTGCACCTGTCATTGACCAACCCTAAAATATCGTACATAACTTTACAGTGACGCATGTTTTCTGTAAAGCTCTTCCTAAAAGTTACGTTATAATCTCATTGATGATATCGACTCTGAATTCAGTTTTCCAGAGAACAGATTTTTAGGGACTTTAATAAACTTTGATTTCGCTTTTGTCTCCTTCATATGCTTGGTCACAAATCTAGCAGCACATCTGTGCCTACTTAGTAGGCTAAGTGTAACGTCAAGGACTTTCTCAATGGTACGATCAGAACTGATGACTTCTACACAATGAATGAGGCGTCTCACTAGATTTTGTTTTTATCTAACGGGTATAGTGGTATGGAATTGAGTGTACTGACTGGTTGATGTTGATCAATTGTATATACTTCATTTTAGCGTTCCATGTAACCTTCTTAATAACAAGATATCTGTAAAAATATGCATTCATTTCATTCTTTGTTCATTATGAGAGTGATTACTGAATAAACTCCACTAAATTTATCAAGAATAGTATTCTTATTAACCTCATCTTGAAGAACTATTAACGTACCATCCATATGACAGGTATAGCCACTCCTTGTGCAACAGGTATAGTAAAGTTTTGATGTTTCAGCTTGTAGGTGTCGTGACTCTGTGGCCTAGTGGATAGAAATCTGGCGTTTGAAGTGGTCGATCTTGGCTTTAAGCCTTAGGAGGGAGGAAACACTACTCACTGGAAGACGAATACTTCCAGATTACGAGTCCCAAATAAAACGAAGCGCGCGTCCAGGGTTCCATTGCTAGGCACGATCCATCAGTAATACTCTGAGCTACAATTATCTCATTGGGAATCCAAACAGCATCTTTCGGCTCTACAATATGTAATTACCATGTCATCCACATGTCTTTTGAAGAAGGGAACTCTTGTAACCAGATTTCTAACCAAACTCTCCATGTGTGACATATAGATATCAACTAGCAAGGAACCTAAAGGATTTCTCGTGGCGATACTGTTGACGTGGCGGAATTTTCAATCCTCAACTGTAAATTCAACATTACTGGTGCATAAAAGAAGAAGCTCCTTAACATAAGCGAGCAGAAATGGCAATGGAATAGTGTTGGCAGAAATATAATCACATAAACTATCAACTGTCTGCATCAAAGGAACATTAGTAAACACAGAATTTAAGTCAAAAGAAAATATAGTCTTGTTTTTAAGGTTGATATTATGAAGATATTCAACTAGTTCAAAAGTATCTTTCAAAAGAAGCTTACAAAACTGTTTCTTAATGGGATCTGATAACTCCACCAACCATTGACCAAGCTTGTAAGTTTGAGACCTGCCCATTAACATTATTTGACGTAGAGAATTATTAAACTTGTGGAGTTTCGGAAAGTCACAATAGTGTGGGAATCAGGATTCCACTGGTTTGGCTTCAGTTTTGCTTTAAGACTTAAAGTGTTTACACATAAATTACTCTTCGGTTTAAGATTACCTCTATGGAACAAATGAACGATATCCACTAACTTAGTTTTCAACCAACCCTGGTCATCAACAAATATGGAAACAAGAAACTGAAGCTGATTGTATAGATTTTCAGACTGTACTTGTATTACTGGATCTGAAATTCGCATTTGCAGAACAAAAAGTTTCTGTTTGAGTGATAGTACCTCTTTTATGTAAGTGAATAGTGGCACAGAAGATAAATTAACTACATATTTATCTGAATGAACATGAAATAGTTTTATGTGTTTCTTGCCATAGGATGATTTGTTCAGGTTCTTGGTTCCAGTGCTACGGAACTGCGAAAATGTAGGAATATCATGTGACATATCACAGATAATTTGAATGGGATGGACGAAGTAGGGAATTGGTTATTTCAAGTTTCAAACAACTCAGATGAACTACGTCTTCTTATTGTCCTGTCAAATTTTTTAAGCAGATTAGTGGTTTCAAGTTTCGTTTAAAATAAACGAAATAGTATGACAGATAATATTTTTCCAGCTTCCTATTTTCCTTTCTTTAACCCGTTGTGAAGATCCAGTATTTTCTCATTCAGTCACTTTTTTCTTTGTGTTGTTTTGCCTGACATCCCAGATAAAAGTAGAGTTTTATGTGTTGTTATAATGAAGTCTGGGCATGCTTACAGTTCAACAAATATGATATGAGTTTAAACTGTGTACGCATCACTCATTGTTTAGTCATAATTCTTGACCTGAAAGTCTACTGCGTTCTCATAATCACTTTCCTATGGAAGCATATGCATTTTTGTGTCACACTCATGGAAAATTCTTATGAGGAGTTATTATATTTTATATGCACCTGAGTAAATCAGAGAACGATGCACATTGATGCACGTTTCGTCCTACTTGGGACTCATCAGCTAGATGTACCTGCACATCATTGAATGGTATTGTTCCCATTGAGACTCCAATTCAGTACCTATCTCTTCAAACGCCAAAACACTGTCCACTTAGCCAATGAACCACGATTATAATAAGTCTAATAATAGAAACAATAAGTTTATCTTTTTTTCTTCTCTTTCTTGGGGTACTAAAAAGCAAAAAAAAAATGAAAATTAACATGCGACAGTTTTCATGCCACGGTTAAAGAAGTGACTGTGCATATTTTTTGGAACATGTAACTAAGGTTTAAACTTATAGACTAGAATGCTTTTACTGTACACAAATATCTTGTCTTCACGACTTTTGAGTGAGTCTGTTGAACTTTGTAGATGATTTTGAATGATGTTTTAAGAGGAGCTAAATGTTTGAGATTCATTAGATGCTCGACCATAAAATTAGAGATAGTCTTATTTTACATTTTAATAGCCAAACTTTGTAGTGTTCACAAGTGTGTATGACAAGTGAACGTATGGTATGGCTTATATACTCGACTTCACAGGACCAAGTGAACACATGGATATATATTAAAGAGATCCGATACGTCAACTTATCTTTCATGTATTGCTTAATCATCTGTTACCAAGAGAAAAATTATCTGAAGACTTGAAACAAAGAATGCTTTGCTCAGTAACTTCAAAAAGCGTTGACACAGAAGATCAGTAGCAATATCACTTGTGAATGGATTCTGCGATTTTCAGTATTTTATTCAGCAACCTCCTGAAATTTTCCCGAAATTTACCCATGTTTCGTAATACCGCGACAATCCTTTGCTAGACTTATCTTCATGATTCGATTGACTTTGACCGTTGACTGTAATTAACTGGAGTTTCCATCCTTTGAATTATATATTTATGAGTGTACAGCTTTAAAAATGAGTCTTCGAGAAGATAATTTTGTATTTTAAGTTTAGTAGCAGTAGGTGCTTGGAGATTCACTGTAACAAGTCTACATGTTATTCATACCTTATCGTATCCCTAGAAATAAATATTCTTATATTTATCTTTATCTGTTTGATTGCTACTTGTTAGTATCCATCCCCCCTGTTCACAGAATGTTTTTGGAAATCGAAGCACTTTATTGTTATTTCAATCAGTTAATCAACCTATCGTTATGCTGAACTAATTAAGCCTCCTTAGGGATTCTAATGTCTTTGGAAAAAGCCGAAAAGTAATTGATTGTATTACTGTGATGACGCATTAGAATTACATCTGAGAAGATGATAGATCATGCAAGTGCAATCATTGTAAACAAATGAAAAGTTCGTAGTTTTTCCATATAGCTGCGATCATTGTTGAATGAAACTGGTTCGCATCAGACTTGAGTATATTATGACCGTTCATTTCAATTGAAAAGCATTAAAACATCATACAAGAGGATTCTATCACTTAGAGGCTAGAGAAGAGTGACCAGACTGATATAATTCCACATCTAAAATTAGTTGACACACTAACTCAATGGACAGAAGTCTAATAGGCATAAGTGAAATGACTAGCATCGTAGAGAGGTGACCGACCACCTTTTTCCTATCAGAAAAAGCTGGTGTGAGGTTCCAAGTGATAGTTGTTAGGGTTTTTTGAGAGACAGTCCTGACCAGTCCGCTAGGAGTTAGTAACCGTAAAGTTTCTTTACGTTCTGGTTACTTTTCTGTAAAACATTTTGTTTTGATTACATCTATAAATCGTTTCTCCACACCAATTGTTTGATTTTTACTTTTAGTGAGTTTCCAGGTTGGAAAAGACACAGCAAATTTCTAAAATTTAAGTGCTTCAGTGATTTTCAGTTCTCACTCATGGTAACAATTACCATCATGCTGTGAATTTAGGATTTTATTTTAATATCCTTTCAAATGCAAAGTGTTTTGTGAATTGAGGTGTACCACAAATTAGTTAGCAGTTTTTAATTAGTAAACTGCTGTTAAGCTACTTATGAGTAGCATGAATAAACATCGAAATTTGTTTCGTCACCAATTATAGTGCCTCATTATTCAGCTACTTACGTGGATGTTGGTAGGAACCGAAGTAAAGGTAGGCAGCTTAACAGTTCACCGTTCTTTCGGCAATATGTATGAGACTCAGTGGGGATTGGTGGTCTCATGGATCTTTATTATTAGAGTCTGTAATGAAAGACCCTCAGGATCTGAATTTTCGACATATATATATATATATATATATATATATATATATATATATATATATATATATATATATATATATATATATATATATATATATATAACAATTTCTATCTATTGAACAAATAGTCTTTCTTTAGCACGGATAAATTGTAAGTGGAACCAAACATATTATGATAAAATCAAAACCTCTGTTAATTTAATTGCAAAAGGTCCGTATGAATTAGCAGTTATTTTTAAGATTCCCATAAAGGAGCTATTGTAATGAGAGTTTATTGATAAAATGAAATAACGAGCATAAAACGCAACATTCTCCTCTCCTGAATGAAGATTGGATTGATGGTGGCGGAGTTATATTACTAATCAGACGTTGTGTAAAGGAAATGCCGACAATTTCATTTGAGGTTTTCAAGATACTTGAGCGAATAACCATGATAATATACGAGTTATATAATTGATTTTGAAAGTCTTAATATGTCAAGTGCATATTAGCTTAGCTAGAGTGCTTAATTAGGTGAAGCTGTACTTTTACCCAGTACAAAGTACATGTTGTACAATAGGTAGAGTAAGACTGTCTGAACTCTAATAAATGCAGCTTATATGTTGTTTCACTACAAAATATATCACTGTTTGCTCGAATATTCTGCCGAAAAGAATAGTTTGGAAGTATATTTCCGACGACAATTTCTCACTTTGACGATATCTAGCTATATCTCGTTGTTTATTTACTGATACTTGCCCTAGTACCTCACTATTATTCTCACTTTCATTTGCATAATAATTGGTAACTTTTTTCAGTAGGTGCAGTCCACACTATAGTTTATCAAATGAAAATTAAGTTACGAATAGCGCACACTCTAAATCAAGCTCCTGGCGTAACTCCCTAGTCTAGCAGATTACTTTTAAATTTAAGTTTAATTTTTGAATCTACCACGCATCAAGAATATCAGTCTGGCTGAATGTACATACATCTGGAAATTTCCAAATAGGGAGATAATTCTTAGATTTTACTGTTGATAGTCACGTTCAGAGACGCTTAATGTCAGTTAGTTTATTGTTATTTGACCCTTAGGTTCCTAGTGGAACATAGGGTTTCAGTAGCACGTCGCCATTTCACTCTCTTCTTTCCAGTCTTTTCAACCTGGCTCCACGACTGCCCACAAGCTTTCACTTCTTCCTCACATGATCTCCTGCATGCCACCCTCGCCTCGGATGCCCAACTCGTCGTTTCCCTTTGGACTCCATTCGAGGGTCTGGGCTTGCACATGATGTCTCCGAATGGTTTTCTCAGTGTATGCCCAATCTAATCCATTTCCACTTCCTTCTGCATATCTGTTGGGAGATAGGTTGTTGGTTGGTTTGTTGCCAGCCAGCCAGAGTTCGTCCTTGCTTATTTTTTCTGGCCATGCATCTGATCTTCAGTATCGAGCCAGCGTAGGCACCTGTTGATGAATGTCTGTAGTTTGTTAGAAATGCTTTTTGTGATACACCAAGTTTCTGAACCATATAGCAACACTGACTTGACATTGGTGCTGATAATCCGGGTCTTGTTCACACTTTATGCTGAGTGCAGTGCAGTAGATCTCCACACTGATTTCAGATTAATCAAGGCTTGTCTTACTTTTTCAATCCTGGCTTTGACGTCTTCACCTGTGCCTGTGCCACCTGTAGTTGAAACGATTCTTGCTAGGTAGGTAAGTGAAAGAGACAACTTCCTTTACGTTTCTCCTGTTGATGGTGCTTGTTGTTGTTGGTTGGGTATCTTCATTACCTCTGTCTTCTCTACGTTCACCTGAAGGAAGTCCCGTCATCGCTGCCTCATCACTTCTACCAACTAGTTGGTTTTTACCTATAGAGTTTCGAGTTTGTGCGACAAGATATTGGACATAAATCATCATCATGGGCGAAATCCAAATCTTCTTCTGGTGTCTTTTCATCGGTCCAGCGTATGTCCGTCTTCTCGCTCTTCACAGTTTGATGCATGATCCAGTGCAGTTCACCACAATCAGGAAGATTATGAGTGTCGGTTGGCAGCAACCTTATCTTACTCCTGTCCTCACTTCATAAGCGTCACTCACCTTTCCATTTTCAGCTAGTAGTTTTATTATTTTCAAATTATTTTTAAACTTGGATATTGATACTTAGTTACATTCAACTCTTGTTGACTGAAGTTTCAATCAATAAACTGCCATTCAGTTACTTGTAAGTCATTTGAAAGAAACTCGTTCCTTGAACTCCATTCCCATCCCTTTCGAACACCACAGTGTGACTTGTTTGCAACCACCAATAATGTCGGAAATGGAAGTTTCAGGTCAGCAGGGAATATCTACCAGTAATTCCTCAATTAGGCTTTTCGTAATTATGATGAACTTTTGTAACCGTGTATAATGGTTATACTATGCTTCAAGTTTTATAAAATTTGGATTTCCCCTTTCTAAAATTGGATTAGTTAATTTTTTTAATTCCATTTTACTGCGTTGAATCTTTGTGAAAGTGTATACACTTCTTGTAATTATCTTTATTGTCTTCTTATTACTTAGGTTAAGTCAGCTACTTTGTTGGGTATTCAAGCATGTGACCAATGGCAAAAGAGTAGTGATTTATTAACGCAACAATTATGGCCACGTTATACACCACATCCTTGGGATGGACCTTCACCTAACTTAGCTTATTTAATGCAGTTTAAAAACCGGTTGAATGAGGTAAGCTAATGCTAAAAAGGTTTTTTTTTAATACGCTTGCATATTTATCAATCATTGATGTTGTCAACTAACATATCAATGAAGCATCTGAAATTGAAATTTATGTACATAAGTTGGTCTAGGTGCAAAATTTTGAGAGGTCTGAAAAGGGCCATATTAGAAAACACAGGAGTATGTTTAAGACGTATGATCAAATAAATAACTCAAATTGGAATTGCATTTTGTTGCCTTGCCCAAGTTTCACTCCTAAATGAGAGGCAACTTATTTCATTCATTTTCAATAAGATCACCTTTAAATATAAAATGATACACGATGTTGATGCCACTTTGAGGTTTAAAATGCACCAACTAGTAAAATTTTATATATAAAGAATTTGAAGAACATCATTTGCACGAGGTATCAAAATGTGTAATCCGTTCCTTACAACCTAACAGATTTTAAAACCTGAATAAAGCATCATCAGTAGAACATGTAAGTTACTTGTTTATTTACGATATTCTGTCCCCAAGATACCAAATAACTGAATGATTATTGATTCCAATTGAGCATACTCTGATATTACTCTTCAATCTTGTAAACTGAAAATATTACTGATCAAGAGAAGTTTAAAGTGACCACTACTGATTCCCACACCTTAACTAGTTTGTTAGGCTTATGATTATACATTAGCTAATATTGTGAAAAGTATCATTTTATTCATGAACTTCAGACAAATGTTAGCCATAATCATATTCGTATCCATAATCCTGTAATATTGTGTTTGGATAATAAAAAATAAAAGCCTTTCCTCAATTTCTTTTTTCTCTTGTTCTTAGATTCTTAGTTTAAGAGGTCTCTATGAACATTTGTATCACTTTACTACAACTGTTGAACATGTTGAATTTAAAATGGATTCCGGATTAGCCAATTTTATTTTCAATACCTTAGGATTTGATGATACGAAGGATACGAAACAAACTCCAAATTCGCAAATAGTAAGACAATTCAATAATCCATTAGCCTATAATCCATATACTGCTGATCAGTGGACATCAGCTTTGAGTTTAATTAATGCTCGTCTTCGACCAATTGAAGAGTGTGCAGCTGCAAGATTTAGAACTAGATTATTGAGTTTAACAAATAAGATTGATTGTAAGTTAACTGAATTGTTAGTAGTATGTTTTAATTTGATTGAATTGTAGCTTTTCCAACAAATGCATAAAGTTATTGAATTTTTAGAAATATAATACACTTTATTCAATGCCCTGTTGTTTTTAAGCGGATCACTTCATACAAATAGTAAGAATCGGGTCACAAGTAACCACATCCTTACAATAAGGGGACTTCGAAGTTCACTGACACCATTCAGTTACTGCAAACTGACCAATGTTATTCTCTTTAATACCCAATGTGAATTGAGTTCCCTAGGTTAGATGTAGTATGCGACTAATGAGCTAAACTATTCCTAATTATGACTTGTAGTATTTAGTTCTGTTTGCCTGAGTTAACTTGTATGAAATCTTCGATATGAGTTTTTAATATTAAACTCCAAGATTACTGTCTAATCGTAAACTTTCTGGTTAGGATCCAAGAAGCGCTACAGGAATCAATGATTGGGAACCTTAAGCAGCTAAGCATAACATAAATCACAGAGGCACGGCCATGGCCACACCTCGTTTTCCTTCTAATCTGAAATGTCATTTCATCTTTTGCTCCAAATTTTAATCACTTGTTTTCCCACCATTTTTATCTTTATCTTGACGTTATCAACTTCTCACTGTTCTGGTATGATTAAATTCCCTCCTTAATAAAACCAGGGCTTTATACCAGTTTTTAGGAAACATCTGATGCCTCGATTGGCAACGATCGGGTACGCTCTGAGCCTGTTGCTGATCATCTGATTTTCGTAAAAAGGAAGACTGGATATCGGAACGCGTTTTTTGTATGTACTGTACAATCCATTCGTCTGTGCTTTCTCAGTATACTGTTTCAATACTAAAGTCAATACCGCATAACTGGAAAGAAATTTAGTTTCGTCTTTGATATTTTATTTGATATACAGAATTTTGAGTCGATTTTCTCAGACGTAAAACTGACGTAAATATGTATTCAAGCCAAAATTTCCAGTGACTTTAAGTGACTTATATGAGTTTTATTATCATATTGTTGTCATAATTTTGATAAAATCCTTTGATTTTCATCAAAGTAAAGACAAAATCTGCAGAATAAGTTGACCTCACATTTATTTTGCATCTTCTCAGCTGCAAAAACAGCCTAGAATAAATACAGAATGGGATAAAATAAGAAATATAGACACAACAGCCTAAATTAGTTGAAATTTTTTACCAGTATGAATAATGGTGCTTATTTATAGGTAGTTGGAAGGAAGTTCCTAGAGTTTTAAGAGTGGATGTAAGAAATGGTAATTAGAAATCATTATTATCGTAATCACAACAAATTTTTCTCACAGAAACCAACAAATAAGTTTTATATTACCTAAGATACATATAAGAAAAACAGAAAAGATGGATAAGAAAACAAGAAGTAGGAGATGCAGTAGTAAAGACAAACATATAGTTACCAAGGTGATGTTAAGTTAATTATTGTCTCTTTCTGAGCAAAAAGGTTTAGGTTTAAGTGTCGGATTACTATTGGTTCTGCAAAACGGAGTTCGGAGATTCTTTGTCAATTTATCAATTTCAAGACTGTATACATATCTACACTCTGTCCTAAATCGACGAAATGGTATATAACTGAATCAGTGAGCGATTTTGAACAGTTTATTTGCAAGCTCTTTGGAACATGTTCAGAAACACGAACACACAGACATCTTTTTGTCCTTCCAATATACTTACTTTTGCAAGTGCGTGTGAGTTCGTAAATAAAGTTAGAGGTGACATTGGATGGGATCTTATCCATTTTGGACTGAAATGTGGCTAAAGTATTTCTAGAGGATCCAGTTTCGGAATCGGATACGTTCTGGTCATTGGAGCTGTAAGTCTTCTGCTTCTGCTTTCTGAAACATCATTCCCTTTATATACCAACTAAATAAATACTGATTTTTTTCATTTGTGGCTACATTACTCCTCTCGTTACACAATTGTATTACTTCATAATAAAACTTTACAGATAACGATTACGTAACAGATGTGTTTCATGGATAACTAACTGTCTGTTTTGTCTTCTGAACGAAGGTTTTTAACTCTACTGGGAGGCATTCTTAATAGTTCACGTTTTTAATTCATTGGACTAACGGCATTGTAGTTTACATACTATCCTATTCACCTATCTTTACAGTAGAATCTTCTGTCATCTGTACAACTATCATGTCTTTTAATGGGTAAACGAAGAAAGTTTTAGCAATCTTTGTGCTCGAAGTTCATTTTAAAACTAATGTTCTGGTGTACATCATTTACTGTCTGAAACAGCTGTAAAACATAATTCATATTCTTGCAAGTCACAAACCTTTCATCTTCATAACTAGCATAAAACATGTAATCATCAGTTACCGGTTATATTAAGTTTGCTTCTAGGTTCGGCATGAAAATATCGGTAAACAATGGCGTAAACAAGCTTTCTTGGTTACTCCATCAGTCTATATAGCTTAATTTACTCTACTCATTAGAGCTATTTGAATGACTTGTTAAAATATGACTTAAGTAGTGTAAACTCAATGAATGTTCAAACAGTTAGGTAAGCTGTCGATTTTAGTTGAATGTTCAATAACTTAACATCAACTAGCTGCTTTAACTCCATACAAGAATATACTGAAGTCATATTAACCATTGAAATTGTATACATCTTGATTTCATCTTTTACAAGCTTCTGCAACTTCTAATCGAATTAATTCAAATCAACTATTGAGAGAATTTCAAGAATTTCAAGATTTAATTCATCGTCCTGTTGTGTCAGGAATTTTACAGTCAGAAAGAGAATTACTCTTAGGCTATCTAGAAGTTTCATTGAAAGAGGTATTATTCCAATGCTATTCATATTGTAATGAAATTAAATTTATTTATGAAATATTTCTTTAAATAAATTGAAATTTTAAAATTTTGCCTGGAACCCTAGTGGTCACTTATTTGCAAATAGATTCACAGTTGGTATACTCTGACAGTCTACATTTATCTAAAAACAGTCGGCCAGTTAAAATAGGTTTGATTACCCCATACGAAAGTGGTCAGGGCAGTTTTTATGTTTAGATTTTCTGAAGAAAATCAATTGTTATTCTCAGATATAGATTCATTCAGTATAAAATGAATTGAACCAATAAGTATCAAGATACTTATGTTACTGTCCCAGGGGTTTCTCCATTTACTTTCATTCTGTTAAACTATAAATGCGAAGTGGTTCAGTTAACTGTATTCTGAAGCATCACAATAGAAAGAAAATTGGTGTATATATGTGTAATATGAGCTAATTCAGTGTGGTTTACTGCTACAATATGTAAACTTAGTTGCAGTCCTACAAACGTTCACTAGTTGTTTCAGTAGTCATCTATATTTGCTGGTTACTCTCCATACGAATAGACGTAGACCGATATCTGCCACTGTGACGATGGTTTATTCTGAAGACTGTCTTTGGTCATATTGTTATTTACGGTCAATAATTAAAATCATTTTGACTATCTGAGATTGTCGTGGTTTGGCAGACTGGAAGGTGAGACTAAAAGTTGGACCTTCAATCACCACCCAGTATCAATAACTAAAATTCATAGGTAAATAAGACAGTCAGTTTACTTTTTCTGAGGTCTCTCCAACCTGGCAAAGTGTTCTACTTCAGCAATCCAATGATTTTTATTTGATTTCGGGTTGGAATTCATCAAGGACTGACATCAGCTGGAGGAACATTAGAAACCTGGGAGCATTGGACAACTGTTTCCCCTAGTATGGGACTCCTCAGCAGTGCACAACCATAACCCCGTCCCGCCAGGGATCGAACCCAGGACCTACAGATTCCATGACCGGAACATTACCATTGAGCCACGAGGTCCGAATCCTGTGATGCACATTTCCCACCTCTATCAGTTTACAATATAGCGTGACCTGTATCTAGTACCGTTGTTGAGTAACTGTCCTCATGTTCGACTTGGTTGACTCCACTGGCCATTACCTATCATTGGAACTTCAGGAATCACCTCTCGAAGCTAGTCACCAATGGGGCCAGATTAATTCTATCTGGAAGTTTGTGGAGTCTCAATAGTAACGTGATGGTCATGGAACCTGGAGGTCTTGGGTTCGACCCCTTGTGAGGTCATGGGTATGCACTGCTGAGTAGTCCCATGCTAGGACGAAACAGATGTCCATTCCTCCCAGGTTTCCAATGTTCCTCCAACTGATATCACTCCGTGAGGAATCCAACCTAAAATCAATTAATAAACCTCCAGATAAACTTTTACTTGAGTTGGATATTACCCACCAAACTGTTTCACTAAACGCCAATGCAAGGACATTTGAGTAGTATTAACCTTAACGAGCCTGAAACTGCTATATCATTTGAAAATGCATCAAAACTGTGGAGTAGTATAAAACCAACCACAGCGCTATATAACTTCGATAAAATAGCACTTATTTGTAAAGCTGGTTAAAATGTACGATAGTTCTAAAAGGACGTTTGTCTTCTGAAAGTGCAAAACAAATAGCTAATCTTGAGAAATTTTCAACTGTGAATTCGAAAACCATTTGGATAAAAGTTAAGTAGACTTATCATTTAATTTTTCTTAGAAATCTTTACTCCTCATTTTTTCGTTCACCTTTCCAATTTGTGCTCGGAAGCTCAGATAGGCTGGTGATCAGATTAACATGGAAATTTATATCGCTAGTGTTAAACTGTACATACGGATAGTGATCAATGTGGTTATTAAGCCCTAGGAGTTGATCAAAGTGTATCGATCAAATTAAGTGATATAATGAAGTGATGAAATGTATTTTGGCTTATTATTGGGTTAGATAGGTCCGAATCTTTGAGACACCATTAGTCTGAAGCCTGAATAAAAGACTTCTCGTCGACTTAGTCCTAGCACCTTACATTGGTAAATTGTTTGAATCTGATAGATTTCAATGCACTTTTAGGCACTGTTGTGTTTTTAACCCTAATTATCGTCATGTGGAGTTATATCACCCGTATATATGGCTCAGTAAAAATTTCTTGTTAAATCCCTATACTTTGACTAATTATATGTGTATATGTTTAGTTTCATGAAGAATTTTTTGCCAAGTCAAATAATAACTCAGATCAGCATAATTTTTATGGACAGTCATTGAAGAAGTCTACAATTATTGTCACAAAAAATATCCCAGATCGTGTAAATCGAATACTTTGGGCTGGTCAATTAAAATCTCGTATACAAGAAGAATTTAAACTTGTCGAATTTCTACTGTCTGATTTGCAACGTTTTGAATCATATAAACAGGTAATGATAAATACTTTCATTGGTGAACAATTAAATATGCATTTTCTGTTTGGAGTAACTCACTTCAACTTTCATGTGTTTTTTTGATTGGTAATTCATGTAAAACAGTAGCCGCGAAACGATAGTTGACATTCGAATTCTTTTCTTCATTATTGCCTGTATAAACTGGAGATTATTTTGGTAAACATATCTTTCAGCAGTTCTTATTTTCTAATCTCTTCCTTATGAGCGTATTAATAATATTCTGTATATGAAAAAAATTCAAAACATCTTTTGTTTCTAATCATTTCTAAAGTGGGTGTTGACCGTTTTGAAAATATACATTTTCTTACTGATTTCGATTTGTTGTTTGGGTATGAGTGCGTGTATTTTTATGCAGAACACTTGCTCTACAAGTTGTTCCATTTGATACATTTATATAGGGTAAAGTGATTAACCCGTTACGTAAATACCTATACTTTCAAACTAACTTTGGCATCAGTTTTAGAGGGTTTAAGGAATAAGAATTAGTTGTCGAAAAATTGTTTTCAGTTTTCATTTGCTTTCTACGCAAAACTTGATTACAGTTATGCAGTCTCACTAAAATCTTTTAATACTTAATCAGTAAAAACAATGATCAACTGTTTTTTTGCATCCATTAGGAATCAATGCGTCTAACTGAACAGATTGAAAATTGGCACACTGAACAATTTCAAAAATGGTCACATGACAATCTTGCAGCACTCTCAGGCTCAAAAGAAACAGGCAAACCTTCACTAGTATTTGATCCCACAGGTCCTCTACTAACTCTATCAACAGTCGGTGGTCATCTAGAGGTTGGATTTCCTGATGGATTGGTACAGTTGCAACGAGAAGTTCGTCTATTGGCTGGATTAGGCTATCCAGTGCCATATAAAATAATACAGGCTACAGATCAAGCTGAAAAAATATCACAGTATGCTGTAATGCTCAAACAGGTAACTTAACTGCAGTTTTTAAATTCTTTTGTATGTTTTGAGCTAGGCAGGGTACATCAGTGTGTTATAACACTACTTCTTTCTTGAAAACCAGCAAGATGCTAATCAGTTTGACCAAGAAGTCAAAATAGATAATGTATAGGCAGTATGATGAAATGTGTCATGCATACGGCGCTTAGATTCCTTATGTTTGATATCTTGATTCATATTTTATCCGTTGAGTAAATGGTTGGTTAGATTATCAACTCTAATGTTTTGAAGATTTATGCGACTTTATTCAATTGAAACAAGTTAAGATAGAATTTGAGTGACCACAGTATTTCTTAGCCATAATCTCAGCCCCATAGGATCATACCTGATAATTTCTCATTTCATTCTATCAGAAGAAATGAAGAACTGTTGATGAACGTTTTCCCCATGTGTATCAATGTTTCGTTTTGTCAAGTCGTTTTCCCTAGACCTTGAAAACCTCATTGATTTAAACTTAGTCATATACATTTCAGGACCTGCATTCAGCATTTAGTAGTTGAAGGTACTCAACAGAAATCAATTAATAGTCTAGAATCAAAATTGTTTCATCCGACAGTTGTGGAGGCTTTTACTGAACCGCTTCAGTTATGAAAGATTTGTTTCACTGTAAGTAACAATATTCGGTTACGTAGCCCAGTAACTAATTCACGGATTACTTGGCGAAACCTATCATCAATGTAAACTAGAAACGAAAACACCGATCAGTGGCCAAATAATGTATTCAATCCATTCCTAGTTCCGTTTTGAATGGCTCAGTGGGAAAGTTTTCTATTGCTACACAAGGTGGTGAGTTTTTGAGTGTACAGGAAATCTTTGAGTTTACGCATGCACCTTGCTGATGAGTACTTAGAGTCATGAGAATCCGTTCCAACACTTATCGTTATCCATCTTCCACGTTTCACTTATATATCGGATAACCTATCTTAGTGACTACAATCTTGCTAAGTTGGATTCTTTAGATGTTGGGAATTAATGAGGTCACATAATATTATTTACTCATATTTATCTTATTGAGTTTCATCTGTTTTTATTCTTTTTTGAATAACATTTCTCCATTAACTCTTTTGTATGGTGGTAACTAATAAAGTTAGTTTGTTCACACCGATTCCCTTTTCAGGTGGCACATTTCTATAATTCTATTGATAATGAAATGTTACCGCATCAAAAACCTCTAATGCTTAATTCTGCTCTGGCTTTTGAACGTCTGATCAAATCTCATAACCGTCAACTAAACTTTTCTAAGGAGGATTTATTTACTACAATCACATGGGATCAAACTGAACAAGTGCAAAGTTATATTCAACAATTACAACAAGCATCTCAACAGCTGATGTCTGAAAATCGTCAACTGCGTAAAGTACACTACACACTTATAGAAAAAGTAAGCTTAGAAAAAAAGTAGTTACATATTTCGTATAAATATTGCTTTTTGCTGAATTGTAGGTATAAGTAACTCATCTAGTTAAATTTCTTATTTTTGATCAACTAAACTCCATACACATAGCAGGTTAACATAAGGTTGCTTACTTAGTCGTAGTTATGACTTTTTTGTTATCTATCGAAGGTTTTGAAATGATCTAGAAATTGTGTATCTCAAGGGAATGGTCTTATTATTGCTGTATTGTTTGAGGTGGATAGTTTAAATGAAAAAAGTTGATCCTCGTTCTACATAACATCATCAGCACCAACTTGAGAAAGAAAGGCTGTTTAAGCGTATGATTGTCAGTCTGCTACTTCCTGTAAGTGGTAATAATAATCATCATGATCTATTATTTAATTTATTTTTCATTGCAATGTCTGTTACATAGGTAAGGATATTTAGACCATCTGCCTAACGAGTGTATTTAAGCATGTTTCTGCTGTATTTTCCATTAATATTTATCAATATTGTTTGGAAATCCCCAATATCTTATTTTACAGAGGGTGAGAAGAGTAGCTAGCTAGCCTACTAAACCGTTCTTTTTGAGAATGCGTCGTCAATTTATATATTTCCTTTTATCTGTCACTTTCTTTTCCTGATATACCATGTTAGTACAATTATCAGCGTTGCATACTTAAATATTCCTGTTTACGTAATTCTTCTTTGGATCTCTCAATCATTTCGGTCATATATCACAGAATCATTTACTAATCAGTGTGGACTGTTACAAATAGATATAGTAATTCTGCAATGCGATAAAGAAGAGGTTATATTTTAAAAACTAGTGAAAAAATATAGCCATCTTTGACGATTTTTTTATTTATATTTGTGACATTCTCGATACCTAAGTACGTTTACAACACTGATCAAACCTGTTACACTGAAATTCAAATGACTTCATACAATCAGGCATTCATACAGTTAACTATACTTTAATCTGGTCTCAAATCTTATACAATATTTTGATAGGACTTCTGGCAGCGATATGTGTATTGGATTTTAAGTAATCTTGACCACTTTTCATGCTTTTTATGTACGCTCATCAAGGTTGGTTAGCTGCACCCCACAGTGATTCAGGTCAACGAGGATTGAACTGAAAAAGAGTAGCACCAATACACGATTTCGCTGAAGTTAGTCAATCAGGTATTTTTATTTGTAGAAACATAACCGTTGGGAAGTTGACAAACATAGACCAGCTAAATAAGCGTTCTACACTAAAGACTGTTATCTATAATTCAGTGACACATTCTCCACATCACTAGTAAGCCACAACTAGTTTGCATGAGAACCATAAAAAGCAACAAATTTTCGACTTAGAACAACTTTTTTTCGTTGACCCCCTAGTAAAGATGATATTTTTAAAAATGATAGCAGTTATGATTTCACCAATTGTCCGTATTTATCCTTTAATTTGATAAATAACTGCTTGTCTTTCATCAGTGGCCTCCATTCGGGGAATATAGAGATTCTATGTCTCAAATAGGAGTAAGCACTCCATGTTGAGTTAATTTATGCTTAATAACATCTCATCAGTTCTAAATTATCTTTTTGCTTTGATTTTTTAGCAGTGGTTACAATAGCATTAGTAATAATAATGATGATATCAGTGATACAATAAGGTGACCATATGCTGATCGTCTTACTATGTATGCTATTTTCACACCTACTACATCAGGGTCAGTGTTTTTAGCCGTTTAGCTTACAATCAGTAAGTGAACGACTACTTCTAAATCCTGAATATTTTTACCACTCTTCAGTCCTTTGTGAGCAAAATAGGACGGAAGACAATGGTAAATAATCAGTATTTGACATTATACGAATGATATACAGTGAAGCTTTTTATAACGAGTTATTATCTAGACATCAATAACTATGGTACATGATGAAACGAAACACACTCAACAACCCTGTACACATTTGTGCAGTAGGCAATAAGCTGCACTTATTTTGTTAGAGCAAGTGATACTATGCATCTGCCCAAAACCTGGTAGGTGGGGCGGCGTTCGAACAGGAAGTATAATATGATCATTTTGCACTAACCACTAACATTACATTAGCCTCCACTTGATATACCTAAAATATGACCAGTCAGACAATACTCTGAATTCATTGTCCGTTTGTTTATTTTTAACTGTTGTTATTTTTTGTTTTTAAACTAAAAATTCTCGCATTATTATAGATGATTAAACTGTTGGATGTTGACCTTTTGCGCAACCAATCTAAGTGGAGAAATGAACTAAACGATATGCGCTATAAACTGTCCGAAGTTGCTACCACGGGAGGATATCCAGCTGATCATATGGCACCATGGCGAGCATTTCTAGATCGTCAGTTGTACAAAGTACTAGAATATCAATACAGAAGTGGATTGGAAGAACTCAGTGAGCGAATGCCAGAGATGCGTGTAGATATGGTCTATTTACAGTCACGCCTGGCATTTAGCCCACCATTTGAGGAAGTGAGTCAAATCTATAAATATTTTATCACAGGTATTTGTAATAGGATCCACTGAAATTGAACTACTTCTACATGTACAGGTTCTTGGTAGACATAACAACTCTAATGGAAATTCTTGAAATATGTCGGTGCAGATTTTTTGACTTCAGGTTGCTATTCCCCATGGACTGACACCAGCTGGAGAAACACTGGAAGCCTAGAAGCACTGGACAGCTGTCTTGTCGTGATATAGGACTCCTCAGCAGTTTGTACTCGTGACGCCGCCAGGATCTTCAGATTCTGGGGCTAGCTCGTTACCTTTGAGTCACTTAAAGGGAGTCCAAAGTTCCATGTATCCTACTTTTTTTCAGTTCACAGTATTGTACGACCTTCATTCAATGTCATCGTTAAGTTCCTGTCCTCATATCCGACTTCGTTGGCCCTATCGGTCACGACTTTTCATCAGAACTCTGCGAATCACCTCTCGAAGCAAGTCACCAGCCAGCCCCAATGCTTGAATCATGAGGTATAACGGATGAAAACAATAATACTTTTAAAAAAATAACTTAGTTGTACTCAAATATTACTTTTAGAATCTTTATATATCATAATAGTAGTCTACTCATTATACTTCTGATAACAATGATGCTCAAAATACTTACCCTGTAAGATAAAAAAATTTCAACTTAAAAGTGTGCTTCATCTCCAGCTAACATCAGCAAATAGGATTAATGATAGCTAGAGAATGGACAGTGAACACCTATTTCATTTTAATTATGAAGTATGCAGTATGCACGCACGGGTACTTAGACGATCTACTTCTGATTCTTCAAGTTCGACAGTGATTATATTCCCATTCAAACTTTTACTGTCAAGTGTATATGCGCTGATACAGTCTCCTAAACTAGAATGTTGTATCTGTTCATTGTTCTATGATTCTCAATGATTCGCTTACTGGTATCATTTTGTAGTGAAAAATGCTTTCTTCATTAAAATACTCAATTGAAAATCTTGGCTTTTATTGTGGAATTTCCTTCACTTTTGGTTCAGATACAAATGAAGTTCTTCGTCTATCATCATAGTGAAAAATTTTGAAGGGTTACAGACAGTTTTACGAATAGATTATTATGAGGGATAATAATAAGTTCCCAGTTTTCCTCTGAGTTTTCTGTCAAACCCAGTTGGAGATAACTGTTTTTCAGTCTTTAGATAAAAGTCTGACTGATTTTCAACTTATTATGAGATAGTTTTACTCCATTAATATAAGAGTAAAAGCTGGGCACTATGGTAGAATAATTTAGCAAAAGATACTATAATAGACCTTATTAAGATAAACAATTCAGAGAAACACTTGACTATCGCTCTGCATACACTGACCCATAATCACACTATTGCTTGGTGGGATAGGGTGGCAGTTCTAAAATCCAACATAGCCAGGTGGAGAGAGATACAGATGACGGAATCTCTGTTCATTGGATCTACATCTAATACATGAAGTAGGAATGCCTCACCATATACTGCAGATGCCCTGAATTTTCTATTGCCATTAAAATAAATGAATGAAAAACTGTTAGATTAAGTAAAGAAAGCTTAGCAGCAGTATTTTAACTTTGATATGAATTCTACACGAAACATCATCCAGTAAATAATACAGTATCACTATGGCCTTATATTAAATATATAGTCTAATATGGAATAGCTTTACTTCTCTAATTTTTCTCATAAGTCCATCATTGGTTAATTAGTGAAAATAATTTCTGAACGTTCATTATACGCCGGATCTCTATATCATAACTGTCGTTTCTTTACATTTTTTAGCAATGTTTTTATATGTCACCCTTTAGGCGTTCTCCATAATTATCTTGGGTCAGCTGGCTATGTAATCATGCAATAAAAGTAGGTGGTTCATATCAACTTCATAGGACAAGTCATATCATTAACAAACTTGTAGACACTTGCGCTATGAAGAAAACAAAGTATAGAATTACATGTCTACCTTACCAAACTGAGATTTCTTACATACCAGTGTTAGCGCTATTATTTTTGCAATTAATTGAAAACTCATTGTTTGAAATACAATATGTTATGGATGTTTTGAGTTGATATAACTCCAGGTATGCAGTTCATGTTTCATCCATTTTTTTGTCAAAAATCAATACATTTACTCTTAAGAAGTGTTGATGCAGTTATTTCTTCACCTGTTTGATTTCTGTGTTTCGATATGCTTAGACGTTTGAAGAGTCCCTGCGCCTTCGCATACTTTAATGCAACAATATAAATTTCATCATGTTATGGGCTACGTACACAGTTACTAGAATAAATCCTTCTCTTATATACTCCTAGATTGTGAGGTCATTTTAAAAAGAACTTTTTCGAAATTCAGATAATATGAGTAGCAGATTACAGATCTGACCTAATGTGATAAACATTTACAAAAACTCTTAACTTTTGGTTTATACACAGTGAACACCGATGGACTTTATTACTTCTGTGAAGTATCCTTTCCTTGTGCACAGTGACTTACATTTAACTGGAAGTACATAACAGTTTCATCAGAGGTTGAGATAAAGAACTAAAACTTAGTAAAATTACATCTTAAGGACTTTGTGTTTGTATCATTTGACCTCTTAATAACTTTGTTGCTTATTTAGTGGTAGGAAGGTGATATAACCTCCATCAAACTTGTCATTTCTTATTTCTTGAACAGTTAATGATATAATTCATGACAGTCTTTTGCTTTCCTGTCTTTTGAGTCAGTTTCATTATAATATGTGACAGTTTCTGATGGTGCTACAGGTGATTATCTTCATCCAAGCAATGAGGAGATATTGAAAAAGTGAAAACATTTGTTGCTCAGGTGGATGAACATGGTTTAATTGTGTTCTCTGAGCTAGGTTGTTTAATCATGACGATTTCTTCGTTTTTCTAGACGACATCATCAGCATTGACCTCAGTGTGAAGTGAGCTGTCAACATCTCTCCGTAAGTGATTTAGTAGCTTGCCTTAACGAAGTGATCTGTGATTGGTTGTTTCCTTCGATTGTTGTGTCATTAACTAGCTGTTCTTCTGCTCGACTTCTGACCTTTCTGTCGTTTATCACTTTTCTCTTACTGGTTGATAGATTGGGTCTATGTCTATCCATCCGTGGATTGCTGACTGACCTGAATGGCATGCTTCTAGGAATTCTCTGGTATTCTTTGTGTTTCCTCTGTCCGAAATTTCCACAATGTCGAAATTGAATTCATATCCATAATTATCCACATGCATTGAAGTGAGTGATGAAGTGTCGTGATGTTTAGTAGCCAATTGGTGCTCATGTAGACGAAGGCGAAGAGGGCGACCACTTTGTCCAATGTAGTGTTGACTGCAGTTATTGCAATTGATTTTGTGAATGATATTCGGTTTGTCCACTTTGGTTGTTGTATCCTTTGGTCTGGATAATAGTGTTTGGAGGTAATTTGTTGGTTTATGAGCCACAGCCCTCCCACCAAGTGGTCTGAGTAATCTTGTCGTGATTTCTGACATTCTTTATGTATGGTAGGATGATGCGTTTATTGATTTCCGGCGAAACGCAAGTGTACAAGAAGCCAACACACACTGATCAAACCCTAAACTATAGTAGCAACAACCCAACAACGCACAAGATCCGTTGCCTGTAGACTCTATTCAAAAGAGGGAGAATACACTGCAGCACAACAACTTCACAGAGAAACGAAGAAAATTACTTGATTTCCACCCTGAAGAAGGACGGCTACCCACCAAACAGTATTAGAAGATGACTATCCCACACATCATCAACTACAAAGTCATCGATGGAAATCACCAGACACATCATCCTACCATACATAAAGAATGTCAGAAATCACGACAAGATTACTCAGACCACTTGGTGGGAGGGCTGTGGCTCATAAACCAACAAATTACCTCCAAACACTATTATCCAGACCAAAGGATACAACAACCAAAGTGGACAAACCGAATATCATTCACAAAATCAATTGCAATAACTGCAGTCAACACTACATTGGACAAAGTGGTCGCCCTCTTCGCCTTCGTCTACATGAGCACCAATTGGCTACTAAACATCACGACACTTCATCACTCACTTCAATGCATGTGGATAATTATGGATATGAATTCAATTTCGACATTGTGGAAATTTCGGACAGAGGAAACACAAAGAATACCAGAGAATTCCTAGAAGCATGCCATTCAGGTCAGTCAGCAATCCACGGATGGATAGACATAGACCCAATCTATCAACCAGTAAGAGAAAAGTGATAAACGACAGAAAGGTCAGAAGTCGAGCAGAAGAACAGCTAGTTAATGACACAACAATCGAAGGAAACAACCAATCACAGATCACTTCGTTAAGGCAAGCTACTAAATCACTTACGGAGAGATGTTGACAGCTCACTTCACACTGAGGTCAATGCTGATGATGTCGTCTAGAAAAACGAAGAAATCGTCATGATTAAACAGCCCAGCTCAGAAGACATAATACATCCAAGAATGAGGAGATATCTCTGAACATAAATACTCGCCACTTCCTCTTAATTTTCATGTATAAAATTCTTTGTAAATACTGTCCTTTCCTAGTGTATTTGGTAGCCCAGAAGCGGCATCCAATTCCGGCGACGAAAAAACCTTCTGGTAGTGTCTGTCACTTAAACAAATGACAGATAAATAGATCGCTTTTTCGAAAGCTATGTACTGAAACACTTATTGGCTTGTCAGAGCCTATGGTGACTTATTATGTGAGTTGCATACTCTTAGTGGTGTCCATCGTTGAGGCCCACTCTTTGTGTTCCCATTTAATTTTGATGTTGAAGTGCTTGTGGAGGTCTCATTTTCCTCGTCCCACCCTTTTAGTGGACCTAGAGTACGTAGATGACATATTTCTGCTAGGTGGAAATGCTGTCTTCTGGACGCACTGAGTGTAGATTTTATAGTGTTTCTGATGTGTTTCTCGGCACCCAAATACAAATTGTTGTTACGTGTCTATTTTTATGCCCTGTTTAACAATAGGAGGTGAAATGGTTAAGTGCATCGACCATATTTATTACCTTGAGAATTAAATCAGTCCTGATGGGTCAGTGATAGACCGAATCTTTGCATTGATATGAAGGGGCCGATTTGAGTTTGCTAGCTGGTGCCACTTACGACGCCACCGTGATATACGATTGCCTGTTTAGTGGCGAGTGTGCTGCGCTGCACTTCACTCTTCTCTGCTACATAGTTACGTAATGTGGCCATTAAGGTGAGAGGATATGAAAAGGTTTCAAATAATTCGACCGCTGCTATCTTCGTGAAACGGACAGTGTATTGCGGTTCTATCACATTAGTTACGTAGAAGTCGGGAACAGAGTTATGAGCAAGAGAGGTAAGTCGTTTGATGAGGTTGTGAACGTTCATCTACTCAGATGATTGGAACATGTGTTATGTATTCCTGATTACCATCTATTACTCTGTTGCACAATATTAGCTAGGTATAGGGTGGAAAAAATTAGAGGTGGCCAGTCCGAAAATTGGAATCAGTGCATGAAATCTTTGACTGTTGATCTGAGCCATGTAAGGGAATGTAGAAATCGTGGTTACAGTTAGCCTTACAACGTGAATGGGCGGTTGGAGACTACGTGATATGACGCAGAATCAATCACAGTTTATGTTCATCCATACATTATCTTTAAGTTAACCGCAATAGCAAATTTCATTATTGCTTCCTTCTCTCTTGTTCTATTTTTGAAGCTTTCTATGACTTCAAATAACTTTTTTCTTACCTCTCTATAATTTATCTTGGTGCATTCATCTTTGAAGTGCTGGAATGAGAAGTAGCAGCATGGACTGTTACAGAGTAATATCGGGACCTACGTTGATCCAAAATGTTCCACTGATGCGTGTAAATTAGTACTATTATAGCTTACCTTTGTCGAGTTAGAAACTGATTATCACTAGTGGACACTAATTAGGGTGAAGTTCAAATTGACTGCAATCTCATCCTCAAAAATAGCAGAATGATATTTTAATTTCATGGTACACATATTTACATGCACGATTTTGTCTGTGCATTGTCTAGATAAAAGCCAAATACTATCGGGAGTTGCGAAAATTTATTTGTATTCCGAATAACTTTCGTGGTCTAAGTGAATTCTCTTCATCTACCCGTAACAATGCTAATATGAATACTACGTCCAACAATAATCAACTCATCGCAGGCCTCATATTTCCGCATATTATTGATAATCAAGTTAGTGGGTTACGTGTATGCTACAAGAAGGCAGAGTTCTTATTCACTCGGCTATTAGGTAGCCTGGGACAGTTTCAAGATTGGGTGGTGTTAGGAAATATGAATTTAGATGAGCTGGTCGATTCACACTGTCGTGATCTCGTTGATTTTGAAAGAAATTTTAAGGTAAGTTTCGTTTTATTTTATTTCATCTTTGATGTATACTTACAGTGTAGTATTTCTATCGACAGATTCTATTGTAGTGAGCGCTGCTTATTAGAATGCGTATAAGTGGTTTATATAGCCATGCTGAAGGTGATAACTATCGATTGGTGAGGTTTCAGACGAAATGAGTGAACAATATTGAAAAGAAATATAAAGTCAATAAGCGTGTTGCATGAGATGCACAACAACAGTTGTTTGTCAATGTGAACTTTATTGTAAAGTTTAATATTTTGCCCTTATTGGTCGCATCTCCTCACTAGACAATGCCCAGTGCTCTGTTGAATTTCGCGATGAGGTAGGTAACCTGTCAATAAATATATGTATTTTTATAAGATCGTCAGTGACTTACGTACTAGACAGTGTTCTTACTCCAAACCTTTATTTAACCGACCAACTTCCTTACTGAAATAATGGTCGCCTATTCAACAAGTACTCCAAGACTCACTACTCCAATGAATCCAGACCATAGGTCTGTGAGTAATTCGTTGAAATGAAGGTAGAGGAACTTTGGAAACTAAGGAACAGTGTAGAGCTGTTTCATTCTTGGATTGTAGTTCAGCGACATGAAATATGAAAAAAGTTAACTAAATGATTCTTTTAAACAACTAAGTTATTCACCGATGGTATTGATAACTGGGCGTTAGAGTTCATACCGATGATTGACTGTGAACTGCCTTCCCTGTATTATGAACCAGGATTAACCTTTTTCGCTCATAAGTGGTAGGTGATGTTTTCATAAAAAAACCCGCTAAAGCAGCAGGGTACTCAGTGTCATATGATGAAACTAAAAATGATGGTCTGGTTTACTGTAAGAAATCTCCTACTTAATTTAGTAGCGCTAGGTTGTTAAATAAAGTCCTTTTCTACTGTTACTGAAAATGAAAGGTAAGTATTTCAGTGGAGAATAGATTTTTTGATGTACATATTCTTTTATGATGCTAATACCTCATACTTATTTTCTTCAATTTCAAAGGCTCTTAAAATACGTGGTCGCGATGCTGAAAAGTTGCCAAATGAAATACGCATCGATTGCATAACGGTGAACTGTTTACCGGTTAAAATGGCTATCGAAGGTTTATTACAAAGTCTTTTTGACACACTCCAAAATTGTTTACGCAGATCAATTCACGGTGATTTGGTAGCTGCTGATGCATTTCTAACAGGTTCGATGAATATCTTCTTTCGGTAAATGTGTGTTTTCGGTCCAAGACGGTTTAAGAGATGACATTTTTCTAAGTGCTTTAAAGTTTCATTCCAGTAATCAAGTTAAATGTTTTTTTATTAACTTCGAAATATGGTAGAAGTGGTAAAAGAAGAGAGGCATACTGAACAACATGCAATTTGAGCAGAGAACTGGTCAAATTTTACAATAAACTAAAAACAGTGCACCATAAGGAAAGACAGCATGAATGGAATTGAAAAATGGTGCAAAGTATAAAGCCATCCAGACTTTAACGCTAAGCCAGATGTATTTGAATGTGTAACAGAACAAATTTACTAGTGAATCGGTGAATAATGCTGATTTCACTCAGTAAAAATCACCATTTTTAGCATGAGTAAGGGGCATATCCCGTCCAAAGTTCTAAACTCAGTAAAACAACATTATAGAGCAATTCTTGATATATTCTATGTTTAGGAAATTCATATACATATACTTATTGGGTAGTTTCTTCAAACGACAAGTACTTCAGGACTTCTGCAGCACTGAATGATGGAAACTAGAATCTACTCAGAAATATCAGTTTCTTCAAAGTTACTGATATGATTCACGGAACGATATACGCGTCATCTAAGCGGATAACTATACATTAGTTTTCAGCAGAACCAAACACTCATTTCAGCTTTTAAAACCAGACCGGTTTACAGTTTCATCCTGTAGTGCAACCACATAGTTGCCGTCACCCTGGTACCTTATTCGATCTGTATGTTGCATCTACTAAATGAGTGCAGCGATTCCCCATATTAATGCAGCTGTTAAAATGTGATCACAACTGTAACTACAATAGTTTAAGACGGTAATCTTTTTAATACGGCTTGCTTAAATTTGGGCTACAAAAAATATTTCATCGAATATACTACATCAAATCTCCCCTTTTTTACTTGTTTTATTCACTCAAATGAAAACTAATCGTGAAACATTCTGGTGCACTCTTTAAATGTATTCAACCTGTCGTTAACTATAATAGTGTACGCACAACAGTGCTTCATACAGCTATTACAGGAACATGTAGCTGGAACAACAAATTTCCATACTCAGTGAATGAACCTCCACCAATGAACCAACGTCTGCTTTTCTATCCGGCCACGTAGAACAAAATATAGACTAGCTGGTGACATAAAAACTACTGGTCGTTGTGTATTAATGTCTGTCGTAATGCAGTTATGAACATTATTTAACTGACATAGTTTTTTTTAATTTGAAGATATTGTAAAAGTAGTCGATTTGTTGAAATATCACACTAAGAACTCCAAACTGTACTGAAAGTTATTGTCTTGAATAAATTGATTGCTATTATTATCATTATTATAAAAATTAAAGTAACTGTTTGTATGATATACATTTGTTGGTAATACTGTTTCAGTCATAGGTTTATTTCACACCACTTATTAATATCACATTCATACTTGTATAGTTGGTCCTTAATACTAGTAGAATAGATTAAGCAGTCTCATACCACACACTCATCCTATATTGTAAGTTTGAAAGATAAAAGAACAAACTAATTACAAAGAAATAACTGCCCACTATGATAGTCATTTAAAAATTCTAGTCAGTAACCGAAGTCATGATAAAATAAAATCCATCGAGACTTTGTATATCTTTCTTCTGGTTTTTTAAAAAATAAAAATAACGCATTCAGTCTGATAGGAATTGAACACAGCTTGAACTAGCTAACAAAATCTTTTAACTCGACAATATTTTTAGTTCTACAATTTAAAATTTATGTATTCATTGAATAGGGAAATTCTCTTTAGTATATTATGATATTTAAGTTGGAATTCATCACGGACTGTCATCAGTTGCAGGAACATTGGAAACCTGGGAACACTGGACAGCTGTTTCGTCTTAGTATGAGGTTACTCAGCAGTGAGCATTCATGACCCCACCCCGCCAGTGATCGAACCCAACACCTTCAGGTTCAGTCACCAGCACATTACCATTGAGCCACTGGGTCGGAATCCACTGGTCTGCATTTCCTACTCCTGTTAGTTCATGATATATCGCGACATATATCCAGTAGTGTCGTTGGGTAATTGTCCTCATGTTCGACTTGGTTGACTCCTCTGGTCACGAACTCTCATTGGAAATTCAGGAATCAACTCTCGAAGCAAGTCACCAACGAGTGCTAGATTATTTCTACCCGGAGGTTTGTGGAGGTTTACTAATTGGTTTTAAGTTGGAATTCATCGTGGACTGACACCAGTCGGAGGAATATTGGAAACCTGAAAGCACTGGAACTGAAGTTGGGTTCGATCCCTGTCGGGGTGAAGTCGTGGTTGCAACCTGCTGAGTAGTTCCATATTAGAAAAAAACAGCTGCCCACTGTTTCCAGGTTTCTAACGTTCCTGCAACTGATGTCAGTCCGTGATGAATTCCAACCTAAAACCAGTTAATAAACCTCCACAAACCTCCATATAGTATTGTGATATTTGTTAGAGTAAAATTTGGGGAATGTAGAAGAGCCTAATTTCACATAAGACTGTTTATTTGAGAATACTGTATCACGGTGTGCTATATCAAATAAACAATGTGAAATGGAATTATGGTATTTGGCAAACTTCATACTCTTGGTTTCACCTGGATTCTTTGACCTTACCCATAGCTGTAGTTGAATACATTACAACTAAGCTCTTTGACAATGTTAAACAGCGTTAATTTGTTCATGAGTTCGGTAACTATTTTAAGCATGCTGCTTCGATGAGTTTCAACACATACGAAACCCGATTGCTGACATCTTATTGACTGGAACAATTTACTGTCCATTACAATTCAGTACCATGCCAGATGATATAATTTGATGGTAATATTTTAGAAGTAGGGTGACAGACTCTTTTAACCTTGAATGACCGAAACTTATAGTCCTGGATTCTGTTCAAAAGTTAATTCATGCACATCATTTTTTCATGTAATGAATATTTTGATCCCATTATATCAAATTATCTATCTTCCTAGATTCGTTAGAAAAACTAACCCATCGACCACAAACAGTAGATGAATTGAATGAAGCGAAGACACGAGAGAATGAATTCACCAAATCACTCAGTAGTTTAAATGAACAGATAAAGTGTGCTGAGTTGAAAGATCAGCTACTTCGTACTGTATCTGGCAGTGGAGTTACAGCTTTAGCTCAAATAAAAGTTAAGTGGGAGAAATTTCAGTTTATGATCGAAGGCTTTAAAATGATGATGAATGAACAGTTAGACGTGAGTCTGTGTTATGATGTATAACATATTGTAAGGATGATTATTTTGTATAGGATGTATTTTTACTTGTGTAATCCCGGTGTAGTACATTAGAACAAATAACAAAATAAACAAATATTTTGTGTTATTCCTCAACGTTTCGGTCTTGCTAGGAAGATCCTTTTCAAGAGTATGAATCTGACATTAAGTTTTCAGGTTAATATTCAAGTTTTGGTACAGAAAATGGTGACATTTACAATCATCCAATTACATAGTGATATGGAGCAAAGGTACTTTATCTCAATCTCGAGAAAATGGAGACGCAGTCTACTTAATACAAGGTCAAGAAGAGGAGCAGATGTAGGTTCAGACCACTCACCATCTAGTGCAAGGAACCTTCCAAATCAAGTTAAAAGCCTTCAAAGAAGCTGGTGATAGACCTCAGTTCAAGTACAACACTCGGAAACTGAAGGATGAAACTACAAAGGAGATCTTCACGGCAGCCATCAAGACAAAGTGGGAGATATCGAGGAACATCCCTGAAGAAACCTGTGTGGAAGAACACTGGAAGTCTTTGAAAGCTATGTGGAAAGAAACCTGCATTACTGTATTAGGGAGGAAGAAGAAAGAAGACAAGGAATGGATCTCGACGGATACCTGGAAGCTGATAGAGGAGAGGAGGATGGTGAAACAGAAGATAAACCAGTGCAAGGATGCAAAACGAGAAGAGGAACTGAGCACAGTGTATAGAACACTGCACTGGACAAAGAAGTGAAGAAGAGTGCACGGAAAGACAAAAGACACTTCTACGAAACACTGGCAAGTGAAGCAGAACAGGCTGCAGGTAAGAGAGACCTGACGACATTGTATCAAATAACCAGGTTGCTATCTGGGGAGAGACCAACACAGAGGAAACCAATAAAAGATGAAGAAGCAAATTTAATTACGAAAGAAGAGAAACAGAGGAAACGATGGGCCGACCACTTCAAGAAGCTCTTGAATCGACCACCACCACTACCTGCACTTCGTCCAGAAATACCACCTACAGCCGCTGAACAACTACAAGTGAACATAAATCCTCCAACAGAAATGGAAGTTCTGAACGCCATGAAGCTACTGAAATGTGGGAAAGCAGCAGGACCGGATGGAATCCCACCAGAAGCACTGAGAACAGATGCAGAGACAACAGCGGACATGCTCACACCACACCACTATTGCAGAAGGTGTGGAGGGAAGAGAAGGTAACTGGCGATTGACTGGAAGAAGGGCTACCTCGTCAAAATCCCGAAGAAGGGAGGCCTCAGTGTTTGCAGGAACTGGCGCGGAATCACTCTCCTGTCCACCCGAAGCAAAATATTAGGCCGCATCATCCTGGAGAGGCTAAAGGATGCTCTGGATTCAAAACTACGACCGGAACAGGCAGGCTTCAGGAAGTACAAATCATGTGCAGACCAAATTGCAACGCTTCGCATCATCATAAAACAGAGCATAGAATGGCAATCAGCTCTCTACCTCAACTTCATCGACTTTGAGAAGGCCTTTGACAGAGTCGACCGAGAAGTAATTTGGAAACTGCTTCAATACTACGGAGTACCGCAAACCTTTATCAATCTCATTCAACAACTATATGAAGATGCCACATGCCAAGTAATTCACAATGGGAAGCTCAGTGATGCTTTTGAAGTGAAGACAGGAGTGAAACAAGGTTGCCTACTATCATTCATGATATTCCTGATTGTGGTGGACTGGATCATGCAGCAAACAGTAGGCAGCGAGAAGAGGGGGATACGCTGGACGACGGAAAAGAACCTAGAAGACTTGGATTTCGCCGATGACTTATGCCTAATGTCACATAAAACTGAAGATCTGCAGGCAAAAACTAACAAGTTGATAGAAGAGGCAGGGCAGCGAAGACGGGACTTCAGGTGAATATAGAGAAGACAGAAGTGATGAAGATACCGCACCACCACCATCAACAACAACAACCTCCAGTCACCATCAACGGGAGGAACTTAAAGGAAGTAACCTCCTTCACTTATCTAGGAAGCACTGTTTCAACTACAGGCGGGACGGACGAGGACGTCAAAGTCAGAATCGGAAAAGCAAGACAGGCATTCATTAGCCTGAAACCAGTGTGGAGATCTTCTGCACTGCATTCAGCATGCGGAACAAGATACGGATTTTCAACACCAACGTCAAGTCAGTGCTCTTGTATGGTTCAGAGACTTGGCGCGTCACGAAAGGCATTTCCAATAAACTACAGACATTCATCAACAACTGGTTACGCTCGCTACTGAAGATCAGATGGCCAGAAAGAATAAGCAACAAGGAACTCTGGGAACGAACCAACCAAGAACCTATCACGCAACAAATATGCAGAAGGAAGTGGATATGGATTGGGCATGCACTGAGAAGGCCGACTGAGGACATCATGCGTCAGGCCAGTTGCTCGAGTGGAATCCCCATGGGAAGCGACGAGTTGGACGTCCGAGGGTGACATGGAGGAGGTCGTGCGAGGAGGAAATGAGAGCTTGTGGGCTGTCGTGGGACCAGGTTCAAAAGATCTCAGAGAACAGAGGTCACTGGAGGCGTGCTACTGAAGCCCTATGTTCCACTAGGAACCCAAGGGACTAATAATATAATAATAATAATGGAGCAAAGGCCAATGTAGTACACGTGAGTGAATAAGCAACTCGGTCAGAGAGGCTTTTCCGTTGTGCGAGTAAGGTGGAACAAAAATAGGATGGGGAAATTTTTTAGTTCGTTTATGAAAAGTACATTGGGGTTGTGAGACATCAAGGGTGAGAAAGAATAGATGGTTGTAAAGGTCACCACTTTCTGTACCAAAACTTGAATATTAACCTGAAAACTTAATGTCAGATTCATACTCTTGAAAAGGATCTTCCTAGCAAGACCGAAACGTTGAGGAATAACACAAAATATTTGTTTATTTTGTTATTTGTTCTAATGTACTACACCGGGATTACACAAGTAAAAATACATCCTATACAATGAATCATACTAACTCGGTGCCTAAGTTTTTTCAAACCATCCAGTCCATTGTTGGTCAGGATACCTTCGAAGATGATTATTTTATTATATGTTGGGTTAAAATGAAGTGATTTTGAAGGCCACCCTAGCAATTACTGAAATAACCAATCTTGTCCCCTTATTTCTGTTGCATTGGCAGATTTTTATAACATACAGAAGTCTTATTGGTTACTTCAGTTGTTGTTAGGGTGTCTTTTAAAGTCACTCTAAAAATGTGTGTGCTTACACATATTTGATCTTAATTAATTTATAACAAACACTTCATAAATTGTTACATTTGGTTAGGCATTAGGTGAGGTACAGTGAATTGGTGCCAAATTAGCAAGAACCCATTTTGTTGATGTCATTTTGTGCTTAGAAAAGCTACTTTTTGGTTTTATATATGCCAGACCATGACTGGTGGCAAAGTTCTTGTCTTTAAGGTGATTCGGTATAAATAACTGCCGATTAACTCTAATTCCTACACACATTAGGTTAGGCTAACAGGTTAACAAATAAAACTTTATTCAACTGTTGCACCGTGTGTTTTTGTCTTACTTTAATTAAGTTTGATTTTCAGATAAGCCACCATATACTCACTCAAGGCAACAATATAGTTAACTTCGCTTCTGTAGCCCACCTAAATCCTCAGAAATCGTCATTAATGAGTTTTTTCATCAGTTATCATTTCACCAGATTAGATGGTTTGTCCGCTGTTATAATCATTATTGATAAAGTGTATTATTGACTGATGAAATTTCTACCTACTCCATGGAGGCCATCTGATTGACTTGGAGTATGAAGACGATATTGTCCTTCTAGATGGAGATGCTGACACAATTTAGGGTTTTCTGGATGCGTTCAGCAGAAATCTGTTTGGCATGTGTTTCACATCTGTCAAATGTAAGATAATGTTCCATGACTGGTCTGCTCCAAGTACTCCAATTTTAATGATAGAGAGTGAAGTAATGGAATATGTCGACCACTTCACTGAATTAGGAAGTTGCAACAACTCGTGGGAGTTGATTGCTAACGAAATCTCAGCTGAGATACAGAAGGCCCGCTTAGCATTTACCGACTTGCGTACCTGTAGTGCCCAACTGGTGAGATATACGACTATCTATTAAAGGACGAGTGTATTGCGCTGCTGTCCGTTCTGTCCTGTTACAAGTGTGTGAGACATGGCCGTTAAAACTAGAAGACATGAAGTTGTTACACAGTTTTGATCACAGGTTTCTTCGTAGCATTGCCCTTGTCTCTTTGACTCACCAAGGTAGCAATGTAGAGGTTAGGCCAAGGAAACTGTGCAAGAAAGACGATCCAGTGGATGACACTGAGAAACCTCTGAGACATAATGTTGAAAGCCGGATTAGGTTGGAAGAGAGTTCAGGATACCCAGACTAAGACGTGATACCAGTCGATGAAGTCTCTTACTGTTCGTTTGAGACGTGTGCGGAGATGTAAACTGCCTGGCTGGAGTACTCAAGACAGTAGAAATCAGTGGTTGAAGACTCTTGGTGACATGGTTGAAAAGAGGTCACAGTGGTGCAGATGTATTCACTTCTTGACATCTAGATCCATAATATTTGCACTTACCTTTATCTTCAAGTTACCTATCCCTTCACACTACTTTATCTACTTTGATGTCACTCCTTTCTATTCTTTGTGTACTGCTATGAAATGTGGCAACTTGAGCCAATGCATCTGTGTATATTTATTCAGCCAGTCAGCCAACCATTTTAAACTTAATTATAACTTATATTTTCAAGGTACATTAATGAAAATGTAATCACCTAGTTTTAGGCTTCACAGCAGTGAATAGCTTTGACACTAGTAATAACATGGTTTTGATGATCCTGGAATTTTGAACTTTCAATGTCGAGGAGTTCAGAGGTATGGTGAAATAGCTTCATGGTGTACTTTGGTTTGTAATGTCAGTCTACACTTAATCCTATCTAGAAGTGACTCGGGTTTCTACTAGATACGTGACTGAACAGGTGTATTATGCATCAATAATACACCAACTAGTTAAAAAAGTTATATTCGATTAACTTAAACCACATAATAATTAGAGAACTACTAAGCAATTCGATGATTATGTCACTAATAGTTCTCATGTTTGTTGTATATGATTGAGGATATTCTAAAAAAACACTAATGCGAGCTTGTGATGAATTATCACTATGTTATTATTTGTCTCTTGGGTTCCCAGTGGAACATAGGGCTTCAGTAGCACGTCTCCAGTGCACTCAGTTCTCTGAAAACTTTTCACCCTGGCTCCACGATAGCCCAGAAGCTCTCATTTCCTCTTCTCACGATCTCCTCCATGTCATTCTCGGACGCCTAACTCGTCGCTTCCCATCTGGGTTCCACTCGACGGTCTGCCATATGGTGTCCCCAGTCGGTCTTCTTAGTGCATACCCAATCCATATCCACTTCCTTCTGCATATTTGTTGAGCGATAGCTTCTTGGTTGGTTCGTTGCCTGCCATCCAGAGATCCTTGTTGCTTATTATTTCTGGCCATCTGATCTTCAGTGGCGAGCCAGGCTGTTGTTGACGAATGTCTTCAGTTCGTTGGAAATGCTTTCCGTAACGCAACAAGTTTCTGAATCATATAGAAGTACTGACTTGACGTTTGTGTTGAAAATCCGGATGTTGTTCCACATGCTGAGTGCAGTGCAGAAGATCTCCACACTGGTTTCAGGCTAATGAACGCTTGTCTTGCTGTCTTTCCGATCCTGACTTTGACGTCCTTGTCTGTGCCGCCTGCAGTTGAAACAGTGCTGCTTAGATAGGTGAAGTTTCTCCCGTTGATGGTGATTGGAGCTTGTTGTTGCTGTTGTTGTTGGTTGGGTATCTTCATCACCTCTGTCTTCTCTACGTTCATTTGAAGTCCCGTCTTCCCTCTCTGACTTGCCATTTCTGTCAACTTATTAGTTTTTGCCTGTAGATCTTCGAGTTTGTGTGACATTAGACACAAGTCATCGGTGACGAAATCCAAATATTCTAGGCTCTTTTCATCGGTCCAGTGTATCTCCATCTTCTTTCTACTCATAGCTTGTTGCGTGATCCAGTCGGCCACAACCAGGGATATCATGAGTGATAGTAGACAGCCACCTTGTTCTACTCCTGTCTTCACTACAAAGGCGTCGGTGACCTAAGTTTTCCATTGTGAATTACTTGGCATGTGGCGTCTACATATAGTTGTTGAATGAGATTGATAAACGTTTGTGGTATTCGTAGTGTTGAAGCAGTTGCCTGCCAAATTACTTGTCGGTCGACTCTGTCAAAGGCCTTCTCAAAGTCGATGAAGTTGAGGTAGAGTTGAGTTGACTGCCATTCTATGTTCTGTTCTATGATGAAGCTAAGCGTTGCAGTTTGGTCGGCACATGATTTGTACTTCCTGAATCCAGCTAGCCTGTTCCGGTCGTAGTTTTGAATCCAGAGCATCCTTTAGCCTCTCCAAGATGATGCGGCTTAGTATTTTGCTTGGGGTGGACAGGAGAGTGATTCCGCTCCAGTTCTTGCAAACAATTAGGTCTCCCTTCTTCGGCAGTTTGACAAGGTAACCCTTATTCCAATCGCCAGTTACCTTCTCTTCCTTCCATACCTTCTGCAATAATGGTGTGAGCATGTCCGCTATTGTCTCTGCGTCTGTTCTCAGTGCTTCTGGTGGGATTCCATCTGGTCCTGCTGCTTTCCCGCATTTCAATAGATTTATGGCGTTCAGGACTTCGACTCTGGTCGGAGGGCTTGTGTTCACTGTTAGTTGTGTGGCTGTAGGTGGTATTTCTAGACGAAGTGCAGATGGTGGTCTATTCAAAAGCTTTTTGAAGTGGTCACATTAACGTTTCCTTTATTTCTCTTCTTTTGTATTTATATTTCCTTCATCATCTTTTATTGGTTTCATCTGCGTTGATCTCTTCCCTCCCAGATAGTAACCTGGTTATTTGATACAATTTTGTCAGGTCTCTGTCTCTCCTACCTGCAGCCTGTTCTGCTTCACTTGCCAGTGGGTCATAGAGGTGTCTTTTGTCTTTACGTGCACTCTTCTTCACTTCTTTGTCCAGTGCAGTGTTTTATACATTGTACTCAGTTCTTCTTTTCGTTTTGCATCCTTGCACTGGTTTATCTTCTGCTTCACCATCTTCCTCTTCCTGCTGTATCAAATCCCATGTGTCCGTCGAGATCATTCCTTACCTTTTTCTTTCTTCTTCCTTCCTAATACAATTATGCAGGTTTCTTTCCACGTAGCTTTCAAGGAGTTCCAGTGTTCACAGAGGTTTCTTGAGGGATGTTCCTTGATATCTCACATTTTGTGTTGATGGCTGACGTGAAGATTTTCTTAGTAGTTTCGTCCTTCAGTCTCTGGGTGCTGAACTTGAACTGTGGTCTATCACCAGCTTCTTGAGAGCTTTTAACTTGATTTGAAAGTTTTCTTGCACTAGATGGTGGTCTGAACCTACATCTGCTCCTCGTCTTTATCTGATCTTGTGTCAAGTAGGCTGCATCTCGACTTTCTTCACATTGAGATGAAGTCGATCTGATTTTCATTATAGTGTGTCCATCTGGTGTCTGGAGAAATCAAATCCATGTCGCTCGCTTTGTGGATATCCTTGTGCTTGAACACAGTGCCTAGCCTCCAATCACCAAATCGTTGAATGCACAGAATTCTGCAGACAGTTCTCCATTCTCGTTCATCACCTCACCTAGCACTTCTCGACCCATGGTTAGTTCTCTTCCTGTGTTGTCCACTCCCAGTTTGGCATTCATGTCACCTCACCCATTAGAATTTTGATATCGCCAACTTGAGTGGTGTTTTGTCCAGTGTTGATTGCAGTTGTCTGTAGAATTCTTCCTTTCTCTCTTGATCTGCATTATTTGTAGGTGCATAGCGTAGCATTGAATGATTGTGACTTTCTTTCCTTTTGAGTTGAACCTTGCTATCATGATCCTGATGCTGGAGGGGATTGGTTTCAACTGTATGAGGGCCTTCGATGCTGTTGGAGACATCATTATAGCCACTCCATAACTCAGTGTGCTCGTGTTTGTCGTCTGAGTGATCAGAGTAGATTATTGACTCTGCTCTCCAGTTGACAGTTTGGAGAGTCCACTTCCATTTCACCTGCTTTCACAGATTTCTAACACTTCGACGCTATACCTTCTCACCTCGTTCGCAATCTGGGCAGCCTTGCTGGCTTCAAACATTGTACGGACATTCCATGTCCCCATGTTTAATTTCACTTTCATGGAGAGAAGAGAAGACACATCGGCCAATTGGCTTCCCGAAGACTTTCACCAACCGGGGTCATTCTGTCTCTCCGATTCCAGGGAGGAATAATTTTGTTTTTATGTTTTATATTTTGTCCGTGCTTTGAAGTTTCTTAAGTGGTTGGATTTGTTTTACGTGGTAGGGTTGCTAGCCCTGTGCTCAACCTTCCCTCTTTACCCGGGCTTAGGAGTGGCTGGTAACTAGTGAACTAGTTAACCAGGCGAGGTTCCTGTGATGATTACCAACTTGAAATTAATAAATCCTCACAAATCTACAAACTGCATCAATCTAGTGCTCATCGGCGACCAGCTTTGAGAGGTGATTCCTGAGTTCCAATGAACAGCCGTGACCGGTGCAGCCAACCAATTCAAACATGAAGACAGTTACTCAGAGATGGATTTGTATGGAGGTCACACTATATGGTGAATTGACAGAATTAGGAAATAGTAACCACTGAATTCCAGCTGAGCGACTCATTGTTAACACGCTGGCCACGGAGCCAGAAGGACTGGCTTCGATTCCTGGCGCAGTCATGCACACTGCTGAGTAGTCACATACTAGGAGGAAACAGCTGTTTAGTGCTTTCAGATTTACAGTGTTTCTCCAATGGATATCAGACCTGGTGATTATCAACCTGAAGACCTACAGTTTATGAATATATATATATATATATATATATATATATATATATATATATATATATATGCATCGTAATAATTGGTTTCACTAAAATCAAATCAAGATTTTTATTTTACCAGATAACTTTTCTTCATGTATCACTATCCCATCACCAGGTTCTAAAAGCAAATGTTATCAACCAAACGAAAGCCTATTTTATGAATTTGGAACGTTTTAAAAATCGTTGGAATCAGTTGAAACCAGGCAAGGAATTATTAGATTGTGGAGATAATGAATCTTGTTTATCAGCAATGACAGTCGTCAAAGAGCATGAAAGTGAATTTCAAGAATTAGAAGTAATACATCATGACTTAATGTACGTGCGCTTTATTACAGCTTCTGTTTACTTTTTTAATTAATAATTACTGAAGCCGAATAGCAAATAGATCTCGTTGCTTAGCCTTCAAAGTGTTGGATTGGTAACTTAGATTCTAGGACTTTTCTTTCAATGTTGATCAGTATGACTGTATATAAGGCATTTGTTACATCCTAGTAGTCACATGTTATAACTTAAGTTGTGAGGGTAGACACGAACAATAACCCTCAGATTCCACCCTTGATGGTCATTCGGTTTTTTGGTAAATTAAAGAAGCGGTAAGAAAACAGAAGGTATATTGACACGTCAAAACATATGCATAGTACAGCGGTGTATATATATTTATGATGGCCTTAACTATTTCCACGCTTTCTAGATTAGAATATCCTACTGTGTTTTGTATCTCCAACCAATCTGATACTTACATGTATGTTCACATGCTTTTTCTTGAGCCGACTGATTGTAAAAGACTGCAGAGATTTAGGACAATGTATGAAGATCTTAGCGATCTCACAGCTCAGTTGAACTGTACACAGCATTTAGTTCTTTCTTTGAGAGATATGATGGGATTATTTTTAGTCCAGATCTAGAAAACATGAGAGTTCTCAGTTGGATTTTCAACGTTGTCAGCAACGTATCAAAGACAACCTCAGAATAAATTCTGTTCTGGAATCTGTGTCTGCACAGGTCAATGAGAAACCTGGGATGTAGCTTTTTTACCATGTATGATAAAGTTAGCATACTATTATAGAGAAATGAATACATCTGTTTTTATGAATTTTTGCTCATTAACCTAGTACAAAGGTAACAGTCTTATGATTATATAAGACTAAGTAAGCAATCTGAAAATATATTTTATTGTGATCTGTTTCTTCTTCGTTTCAAGACATTTCGGATCTCCTATACAATATCTTACAATGGAAAATGCGAGATATGCAAAACTTAAGTTCCCTAGCAAGTCAGCGAACGGTTTTTGGGCTTAAAACACAGCAGTTTGATCGAAATTTCCCTGTTTTTTGTTGCCACTAACCGAATAGGTGAATAGATGAGACAGTAGTCGCATTTAGTTAGGGAATTTACCTCTGTTTAGACCAAGCAGTTCGACCAAGATGGATTTGAAACATCATTTGTTGAGTGTTAAATATTAGATAGTATTCTCATTGATACAGAGTAGAGATTTACAAAAATATGATCAGACTTCTCAAAATATAACCGCAAGTACTTTTATTTATGTCGCTTTTTAACCTTCCGAATCGAAGAAATGGAAGGCTATTACAGCTGGAACATGAAACTTAAAGTAATCAACCTAATTTGTCAAGTAAAATTATTTATTTACGTTTGTCAATCCTTTCCTATAGTATTTAGGATACAACCTTCATAGTCTATATCAACTGTACTTGATCTTATTTTGACAGCTTTTCGTAGTTTTTACTGATTCATTTTTCTGATATATGCATACAGGCGAGACTACGAATACCTTGGTATGACAAAACCAGATTTTTCGCTAGCTGATGAATTATCGAAAGATTTAAACGATCATTCACTTATGTGGTTAGAATTCGATAATTTCTCCAAAGCATTACAAGTCTACGCTAAAGAAGACTGGATTTCATTCAAGTAAGTCCATCATACTTATTGAATACATTATAATAAGGCAACAGTGTTATTAGAGTCATCGGTTGAAGTTTAGTTGTATAACTATTATACTTTGTCAAATAATGAAAATAGTCCATCTCATCAGTGGGAAGCTTTGTGCCCAGTGTACCCACTGACTTCTTACAACATATGAACTTAAAGAAGATTGTGAGAATGTTTCGCTTGGACTTGTTTGCAGATATTTAAATGTTAGCTGAGTGCCTATAAATGCGTCGATACCTTATGAGAAGTAGGTAAGGATGACCCAGCAGAGTACATGGCTGACACTTTTCTACTAAGCAGAAAATGCAGAGTACTACAAAATAGTTGATAATAATTATTTATAAACTGCACAGTGTATATGGATGTGAATACGCTTGCAACAATATTTTATTTAGCGAAAATATCATATGGTTATGTATGTGTTTTATGCTGTAATATACAATTTGCAGTGACAGTTGCTTTCTAAATACATTCTAATGCATAAAAGTTAGTTGAATGTGTAATAAAAACTTTATTGACTTACATCAGATGACGTTTTTTTGAGATTCGATGCATATAGGTTTTGATACTGTAGATGGTACTGGTGAGGAGGTTGGCGTATAGGTGACCGGTGAATGCTACATGATTTCGAGCAAAATAATCAAATGAAAAGTGTTTTTAAGGTTGTCTAATTTCTGTTCCACTAAATGGATGTCACTCCATTGTTTTCACGCTATACATTTTAATAAACATCCAACTAACAAGACAACCCGAAAGGATTTGTTGGGAGTATCACAAATCGTATTCCGTAAATATTTCCATTAACATAGTAGGTAATGCAGTCACTCCTTTGGACTTGATTAAAACTTTACGTACCGATTTTGCATCGTCTCGCAAGTATATTTGTTCCAAATATCATTGTATATCAGTACAGTTGCATTGAGTTCAGAAAGTAGTTTATTCGCATAATGTGTTTAAAACTACTTACCAGAGCCAAGTTTATATCCTATTGTACAATGCACCAGTGATTTCTACAAACCCATTCATTAAAATTCCTCTCAAATTATTGTTGTAATAGGCTGGTGTTTAAATCGCTTACTAGATAAAACCTGAGGAAAAAATTTGTCAGTGGGGCACTTTAACAATCACAAATCTATTGTAGCTTCATAACACAATTATGCAGATGAACATGCTTTTTCATACTTACGCAGTGTGGCAAATAATTGTCATTCCTCCTGCTTAGAATTCAAAGGTAATTAAAGAATCATTTACTGAATGTATGCTAGAAGTATTTCTTCAGAGTGTAGATAACATGTTTAAGATTGTTTTTACCAATACGTTTAGAATTACAAGTGGGAACTAGTAAAGACGATTCTTGACATTTTTGAAAGTAATCATAGGAGGAGAAGACTCAACAGTCATGTGTTTCTTTGTGAAGACTTTATTACTTACCAGTCTTCTAGATGTAGGCATGTACCCTTAATTCTCCAAAGACGAGTGGGAGCAACCGTGACTCTCCTTGCGGCGGGATTCACACTGTAGTTACGTATCACAGCATCAAAGTAAAGAAGTTCTACATGATGCGGTTAAATAGCACTTGGTTTGTATCACTAGCTCGTGAAAACCAGAGGTGTTTTGTGTGCCGGGGCTTACGTCTCAAGCCTAATTCCGTACAACGGCGAGCCTCTTCGTGGCCACTTTGGATGTCAACCAATACACTTTCACATTGACTTGGCGAAAACCATGGTTTGCAAGATCTATATGAGCAAGATCAGTGACATGGATGTCCAAAGCGCGGAAGGTTTTACTAGCTGTCAGAATTCAACCCATTGTGCTGGGAGCAGTGCAACGAAAACGTGAGGTGAGTCCAGCTACCGAATCCGGTTGTCATTGTTGTTAAAACAATCCACAGAGACGGGTGTGGTCTCACGTTGCGAAGGCTATTGACATTCGATTCGAAATGCTGGTATCGCTAGTCTTAGTTTTGACTGTATTTCAGTAGGGGGAAGGGAGCTATGAATCTGTTGGCACTATGCGTTCACATGTTAGGCCTCCTAAAGGTATGTCTTTTTGGGTAGGTTAGCCACACTTAGTTCTCTAAGATTGTAAAGACTTCTTTGAGATGCGTACAATGTACGTCTGCCTACAGGGAGGTGAGTACGTCCAGCCAGACAATTACAAGTCGAATGTGGATGCATTCAAACTTGAAAGTTGAAGGGATTCTGAGAAAACACTGGTCAGTTTGAGATAGAGTTAATAGAATGCTCAGGCAGGAGTATTTTTTTTACATGTCCAGTTGATACTTGAATGTTTCCTACCCGGCAAGGAGATTGATTTATCAGGTTTGTGTTAAAATATCCACAGATCTGAAGACCGGTCTGGAACCTGAAGTAGAGCCAAAAGTTGGGATGAAATCTCACTAGTGCGAACTTATGCTTACAAAAAGCTGTCATCTGTCTTACAGTCCTTAGGATATTCGAAGAGTGTTAGTTATCTCACCGGTTAAGACTGAAATGTACCCAAATCTCTGTAAATAGACTGGTAATCATAGAGTAAATAGATGCTATTAGCTAGTTCTTAGCGCTCATTACTGATCAAAGTCTATCGATCAAGTTTATGATTTTGCCACTGAACTGAACAACATGGAACTATGATACTGTCCATTTCGGTGTGAAATATTAAGCGTCAGTCGGCAGAAAACCCTAGACCTAGGTTTCATGCTTGTAGACACTCATCAGCAAGGTGTACCAGAAACCAAGCCCTATATTGTATTATTTCTTCCAGGCAAATTTTCTGGATGTCTTTATTTATCAATCGGAATGAATGGAAATGCTCTCAGAAACCATATATACATGAATGAAGTAGGCAATGAGTTAAATTGTTTGTATTAGGACTAAGGACTGGTCATAGGGAGTATTTCGAACTTCTCACCAACTGATTAGAAGTGTCTGCCTAGATCATAAGTCATAACCTCACCTCAACTTATTATATTTACTAGAACACAGTATACCTCAATTCTATCCACAAATTTATTTTAAAATAAAACATCAAGAATGCAGATTTTTTCGATGTATGTTTCAACTGGAATTGTTTTGGAATTCCACTGGTTTGCACACTTTTTTTCTTGTTCTATCAAGATCTCGCTATTACATATTCGAAGAATTTTTAACTGAATGGTCGGATAAACTACGTTCTTCACAAACAACTGCAATGACCGTTCGTTTACAAAAGGAAATTGATCGGTATAAGGTAAGAATATCAATAATAATATTTTTCATGCTTTATGTTGCATAAGCACTGTTACATAGTAATAACTTTTTTCATAATGAATTTACTTTCACCATATTCGAGTTTACAACTAAATATTAGATAGTGTCATGGTAACCAATGTAGCTAGCTGTCAAGTACTCACCGAAGCTTTTTAATTACCAAGCATTCAACGTAGTAAACATCCCGTTATCAGTTCGTATGCATATTCCAGTCGTATAGAGGTTACTTGTATCATTGATGCGATTAATTTCGCCTGATAATTGCTCGGCTAGAGAAAAATGACACTAAGAACTAGTTTATTAGCGGAAACTTATGTTTCCATTAGTGAGTATAGCAAAACTCAACCATTAAAAGAATGATTTATATCACATAATATGCACCCTATTAGAAAAGCATTATTTTTGTAAATAACTTTCATATTTTTCAACCACTGATGCACATTGAAAACTGCTTAACGCAGACTGATATTACTTGTTTTTTTCTTATATATCCCTAACTTTGCCTTATATTTGCCTATAACCTGAAAATAATTTTATGGTCGGTGTTTTGAGCCCTCTTGGAGCTGTTGCTAGCTTTCGTTTTTCCCACTGCTTCTGAAAGATGAACTCTCATTGGTTGTTAATTCTTTTAATCTATCAGTGAATTTAGTGTTTGTCAAAGTTGTTTATAATGTATATATGAAGCGCCACTGCCATCTGTTTTGACTGTTGTTGAGACAGTAAATGCCCTCTGTCAACTGTCCATCTTCTTTTCTTGTCATCGCATGTCTGTGGTATTGTTGCTGTGATGGCTAACGTTTTGATTACCAATTAGAGTAAATTTTTTTGCACGGTAGGTTCATATCTCTCATAAGCTGCTGGGTCGCATTACCGGTCATGGCATTTTCATTTACAACTGACTGGCTACTCTCAGTTATTCTCTTCAGTTATAAGTTTTCCTGATACTACTCTGGTAGTCGTTGATTTACAGTTCATCAATTTTCTCGCGAGTTTTTTTTTCATCACTCATCACAATCAAACTGTGAAATATAGAATATGTCTAACCAGTAGGGTTTTCCTAACAATTATTCTTGAATATATGAGTTTCTCAACTTCCTTAAAATTACAATACTAGTACTCATTTAGAATCCTTATGCATTTGGTCTTCGCCTGCGTAACGAAGACAGATCAGAGTTGGGTATAAGCTTCACTCTCTTCTTACACTGCAAATCCACTTTTAACATGATCAGGTTTTTACGATAAAGAGAATAATGGTGCTAATGATGACGTCATTGTATCACAATACTTCCTTTAAGCCTTACTCTCTCAACTTTTGTAAAACCAGATTCAAAATTCTGACTGGAAATCACTTCACTCCAGACTGCAAACGGTTGGACATTTAACCCATAGCATTTGACTCTCTTAATGGCTAGAAATATTCTTCAGAGTGGAAAACGCCTTGTGTAACAAAAGTACTTACAAAATGAGTTGAACAGACTTAAAATCACTTTTATAATCCATCAGCTTATGCTAAGTAAAGCTGAATTTTAATACTTTGAAAATGGATATGCCCAGGTTATGAAGTAAAAGCAGCTTGTTAATAATATGATCTAAAACAAGCAACAAGTATGAAAAAAAGCAGGATTTAATGAATTCATAAATTTCAGTAGTACTCGTCAGCTGGATACTCTACATACTTGATTATATATACCGTTAAGCAATGGAAAAGAGCACACATACATACAAACATATATAACGTAGACTGAGACAAATTTAGGTGTAACAACATAGAAGTGAATAGTTTTTACAGGTCAAGTGGTAATCCAGAAGATGGAAATGGATATTCAAGCTTGTTGACACAGGGATGAGAACTGAATCGATTGAGCGTCGATCACGTCATTGAAAACAAGATAGTTAATAGTATTTATGCAGACAATAAGAAAACAAGGTGTATATTGAGATGAATAATAATGATAACATTGGCAATAGGAATAAGGTTAATTAGACGGAGTAAATCAGGGAAGGAAAACAAATATGAGATGAGTGATAATTAGTAGTGAAGAGTAAAATAAGAAAGATTAAATATGATTAGACAATGTTGTAATTATTACCATGGCAGATTCAAGCTGACTACCATTTCCTTCTGAATGCAAAGGTTTGGTTTGACGACTTGAATCGTACAGGCTTCTACATATCCAAGCAACTTCTTATTTTGCTGTCTACCGATAACTTTAGAGGACTTATAGGTATCAATATCATGTCCATAGTCCATTAAGTGCCTCGTTATCGAGCTCCTCGGGGTCTTCTTTTCGGCATGCTTCAACCATTTAGGTATGTGCTCAACCATTCGGTGGACAGACGCCTCTCCGTACGACCAATGTATTTGCTTCCGCAGGTACATTCGAATTGATATTGTTTTCTTATTGTCTGCATAAGTACTATTAACTATCTTGTTTTCAATGACGTGATCGACGCTCAATCGATTCAGTTCTCATCCCTGTGTCAACAAGCTTGAATATCCATTTCCATCTTCTGGATTACCACTTGACCTGTAAAAACTATTCACTTCTATGTTGTTACACCTAAATTTGTCTCAGTCTACGTTATATATGTTTGTATGTATGTGTGCTCTTTTCCATTGCTTAACGGTATATATAATCAAGTATGTAGAGTATCCAGCTGACGAGTACTACTGAAATTTATGAATTCATTAAATCCTGCTTTTTTCACACTTGTTGCTTGTTTTAAATTTGTATCGGGAAACAAATGTTTTTATAATACGATCAACATTTTGGTGTTTGATTTAGTCTTTATTTCAGAGGTTTATGTCACTATGTTGGTCTCACTTATCTGCTTTGTATATCCCTTGCATTTTAATGAATGCAAATAACCAGTGTAAATTCTAAGGCTCACTAAACGAATTGAGAAAGAATGTCCTAGAAAAACTATGAACTGATGAGAAATGATGATTACAGTTACACAGTTACCTTGGTGACAGTTCTCTATTTACAATCCACCTATGAAGTTTATATAGTTTAGAACCTAAAAATTTTAAAGAACAATATTATTTAGAATGAAAGCAGTTAGAGGAAACAACCTTCAGATGGCAGTGAAGAAACGATTACATCTAATTTTAGGGTCCAAAGGAGATTCAGCGGCAGAAACACTAGCACTGAAACTCAGAAATGTAGTAGAAAAAACCTTTGCTGCGTTTGGGAATGCAGTTGAGTGGTAGACTATTGAGTCTGGTTACAATTTATAAATTTAACTACTTCTGTAGTGACAGTCAGACTGGTAAGACTACCTGCCAAGCCCATCATCACTTCAGTGAATACTGTCCAACGTGGTTAGGTAAAGGGACAGTGAAATCATTAAGATGGCTAGAACTCGTCTATTTGGTAGTTAGTGGGCTTAAGAATGACAAAACCTCATCACTTACAATTCTTTATAAAATATCAGAATACTCTAAGTTTGTTCACTCCCATCGCTAACCGTTCCAAAAACCATAGCAATTAAAATTTTCAAGCCTAATTTATATACACATAAGGTGTGTTCTTTTCTCTTCCCTCTTATGGCCTTCAACTTTAACCGAAATACAATTAAAATAACTTCGATTCCAGTCGCTCGGATAAATGCAAATATTATCTTCATTGTACTCTTATTGTTATCATGATCGCTTCACTCCATCCTAATTTTGATTTTATACGTTCGTTTCATAATTGGTCAGGGATATAAACATTTCTTAGTTAATTGCTATGCTATAATAATGTTATTCCCCTTAATCCCCATACACGGCTTCATTGTTATCCTCTAAATCATGCACCCGAATTCAACTAACCATATTGGTTTCCAGCACCTATACTGAATAATTTGTAAATGTAATTGTAGAGCCCGACGACAATTTACCAAAATACGTACTCGTCATCCTAAGGGAAGCAAGATTAGGTTGGAAGAGAGTTCAGGATACCCAGACTAAGACGTGATACCAGTCGATGAAGTCTCTTACTGTTCGTCTGAGACGTGTGCGGAGATGTAAACTGCCTGGCTGGAGTACTCAAGACAGTAGAAATCAGTGGCTGAAGACTCTTGGTGACATGGTTGAAAAGAGGTCACAGTGGTGCAGGTGTATTCACTTCTTGACATCTAGATCCATAATATTTGCACTTACCTTTATCTTCAAGTTACCTATCCCTTCACACTACTTTATCTACTTTGATGTCACTCCTTTCTATTCTTTGTGTACTGCTATGAAATGTGGCAACTTAAGCCGATGTATGTGTGTGTGACATTCTACGTTGATTTAGTCATTCAGTCAGTTCATTTTCTAATTTATCACAATGGAAATATTCAAACAATATTATTGTTCGGTTACATTCAGTCCGAACAAATAGTCTTCGGTCACAGAGTAAGGACGATAGTATGAACCAGCATTATATGGGAACTGATTGACAAGTGCGGCTTTTATTGATGATGTACCTGTGAGAAATGAATAGACATTGGAGACTAACAAGTACTTGGTAGGTGTATCTCTTTCTAGAAAATCACTGGGTAATATGCAGATCACTTTTATATGTTTAGCCATTTGCATAATTGACATATACAATATTTGGATTATTGTTCAAGTGTACGAGTGTGAGGTTTACTAGTTGTTGGATTGCAAGATCAAGCGGAGAGAAGATGGAAGCTTAGATACCAGTGTTTACAGGAAAAGAACACATTTGAATGAATACTTGGATTTCACATAATCTCACCCTATATCTGTCAAAGTAGGCGTGATAAAATGTTTCAGTAATCGGACTAGGAGTTTGGCTAGTAAGTCAGAAAGCCTAAATACGGAAATGAAATACATCACATAGACAGTAATTCTCGATAAATATCCTCCGGAATTCATTAAAAAGTTAACAAGGAGTGGTTAGAGGAAGATTGCTGATGTTAGTGGTGACCGAAACATGCCTGAGAGGGAATTCAAATTGTCTGTAGTGTTGCCGTATGAAGAATGATGGGATTAGAGTGGTATTTAAACCCACAGACTAGCTCGAAGAGAAATTTCTAGGCTGAAAGATCCAACAGAGCCAACCGAGAAAAATAACCTTATCTGTCAAATAGCATATAATGATTGTGAAGTGAAGTAAATAAGTCAGAGCAGCCGATCCGAGGCAGTCAGAGTAGCAGAACGCAAACATTTAGCGAAATATACAATGGTAGACCCTACTTAGACAAAAATTTTCCATTTCTGTCGATTTTTCGCTCCTTTCCCCTTGTAGATTGTGATCGTTTGAATTGATTTACTTTTTATGAGTATCCATGTTGTTATCCATTTTTTGAGTTAAAGACAATTACTTTGGATATTTAGAATAATTGAGTGACCTAACTGAAAACTATAAACACTCTATTGAAAGCCAGATTTGTCTACATAGTCCCTAAACAGTTGGAAGTATAAAAACTTCTCTTTTGTCATGTTGATATTATTAAACAGTAGTAACTTACCATATTTTTCTGGTATCTTACATGTGATGGTGTCATCGGCTTTCGTCATCAAATGCACACATTAATTAGCCATTCAAATGCGATTGTACACCTTCTGAGAGTGATTTCACCAAAAAGGAATTTCTTCACCAAAGTTTTTGTTCTTTTATAGGTAGAATTACTTTGAAGGCTTTATTTAGCAAAGTTGTTTTGATAACCAAGTGAAGTAAATCAACTGAAAATTCACTTTAAGAACGTCAAATAACTATTTTCTTTCAGTGCTATTTGTTTTCTCATACTTCATTCATCTTATCTACTGTAAATCACATATTGTGCAACAAATACTTTATCATAGGACCTTATACCAGCATTGAAATGGTTAAAAGGTGATCATCTAACTAGAGATCACTGGTTTGAATTATTTCATCTGATTGGACTACCTAAAGGAAGTAAACTGGAAAATTTACTTTTTGGTGATTTGTTTCCAATTATTTCAAATATAATTAATCAATGCGATGCATTAAAATCACTTTCTCAACGTGCACAAGCTGAGATTGTTGTACGTGAAGCATTACAAGAATTGGATGTATGGGTGCTCGTACTACATTTACACTAACTGAATATGTTGATAGTTCTGGACAAATTGTTTACTTGGTCAAAGATTGGAAGGAGATCGTTAGTCAGGTGAGTTCAAATAAAATGTATTTCAGTAAAATTATAGGTTTTAACATGAAATTACGATCTCATAAATGCAGACACCTCCCATGCCCTTAATAACTTGTAATTCAAATTGGGAAATGGTAAGGAATTGCTTATAGATGGGACACTGGAAAATGTTCATTATCTCTATAGTATTTAGATGCAAGTGCTTTCTGAGCCGAGGGAATTGACGATGAGATTCACAGTCATAGTTCTGGATACTGCAGAAGTGTTAAAGAAAGTTGCTTCCTTATAAGAATTTACAACCCAATGTTCTACCAAGCCAGAAACTGATTGATTCAATGAACGTGTTTAGTATATCACTATAAACCGTTCCCTCAACTTTTTAGTCTGAAAGTGTACCTTTATTAGAGTATTCATTTTCTAGAACACATATCCACATTTATTTTAACATCGGCTTTATTTCTAGAGTTTGTTGAAAATGTGAGCAAATACATACAAGTGCAATATATTCGGAGAAAAAGTATATTCGTCAATGTAATCGTTTTATCTATTTATGTCTACGTCCGTTTAGCCGAATGTAGGTCAGTCTTTTGTGTTTCAACACCAGTAGACCAACACATGTTATACTACAATACTATTGAATTTCTCCGACTTAACGTTTTATTTTGTTACTGTATTTTGTGAAAACCAAAATTATGGACCCTCAGACTTTGGTGAACTCTACTTATAAGATTGTATATTGAAATAGTGGATAAGATTTGTATCGCAGGATAAGGATGATAATTATTCTGTGTTCTCCGAGCTTTAAGGGTTGTTCTTGTACGTTTCATTACTAGGTTTAGCGAATTCATCAGCATTTACTTCATATGGAACACATATTCTTAGAATATAGCTCAACATGACTATAGATTCGTGAAGATTCAGAAGAGAAGAATGTGCAATATTGAGTAGAAATATTTGAAGGGCAGGAAAACTACACACCGAAATCCCAAGAAGCAGAATGCTTGCAAATGGGGCTTTACTGTGTGGTCTGGTATTTTCATCGGTATTGGTTGAAATTTTCAATAAAGAATGTTTGCTACTCAATCGGACTTTTTTCAATGCGAAGATAAATACAATCTTACAATATATAAATTAATCAAAGGGTGGAATAACTTGTACTAACCCTGCTATAGTTGTATCAGCACAATGAGAACAATAGTGAGTGAACGTAATCAAGCTATCACGTGATTATACCTGATACACACGTCACCCGTCGATACCCCTGCACTTGATTCCTATTTTCCATGTATACATCAAGCATGGGATCGAAGAAAATACGGATATTAAACGTTTTCTCAGGCAGATTCTACCAGTACTCAGTTTGCTGGTGATATGCTTTCTAAGCGTTCAGACATGCAATTAACAAGGTCACAGTTCACAAATACCCAATGAAACTGTTAGGATGCTAAATAAGCACTATACTTGATGCTTTGACGACCGCTGCTTTTCTTGCAGCATAAAATATAGAGATCAAGTAGCACTGAGGTCAACTATTTTCACGATTCCAAAGAAAGCGTTCATATCACTCTGCCATATAGAGGGGAGTTGAATAGTATCATTTTGAGACGTAGGTTGACATCAGCCATTAAGAAAACATGTTATGCAGCTAATCTTAACACTGTAGAAAAAACAGAACACATGGTTCACCACAAACCTGGACACTGCATCAATGATCATGTCACACCCCATTGTGCTTACCAATATACATGTATCTGTGTATGTGTGTGGTCAAACATATGTAGGGAGGAGTAATCGAGCTATGCAGTTGAGGATGGGAGAACATGTGCTTAAGTGGCTTCAAAAACAAATGGAGTGTGAAAATGTGATAAACGCTGGTGGGAGACGACCCTCTTCATTTATAGCTAAACATATTGTAGAAACAGATCACAAAATTAATGTTCAAACAGCTTTCAAAGTCTTATATAGAAACAGTCAAGGACGCATTCTGAGATTTGCGGTAGCCATAAACAAATTGAAACCACCTTTATGCGTACAAAAACAATTTGTTCTTACACTAGCCCTACCTTGGTAAACTTTGTTCTCTTAACTATTTGTTCTCATCTTTCTTAATTTTAATTCCCTATTATGTTAATTGTTGTATTTGTCCTCCCACTCCATGGCGTAATATATGCTGACCTGACTAGTAAGTGCGTGATCAGATTGTTCTAAATGTATTGTGCAAAATACATCACATTGTTTAGATAATCTTCGTCTTCTAATTACGCCATCGAAATACATAAAGGGGACTTACTGTTTTAAAATACAACCGTAGTTTTAATAGCAGCTGCTGAAACTTGTAATACCCTAAAATAATTGTTTTCAGGAAGTATACTTGATAAATCACATGTGGTTCGTTAAAATGGTGCTAGAAAATAGTCCGCTTCGTATCTCTTTCTACGAGGAAGTGAATCTTTATTTTCATTTTGTAGATTATTTTCGGCAAAATTAAACCCTGATTATGTGCTTTAAGGGAAATGCCTTAACTAGAATAACTAAGGTATTTTTCAAAAAGTATCCCTTGGTTTCTTGACTCAATCATTCTGTCAGTGTTAATATAGGACGGAGCATGTGTGCGTAACACTTCAAATTGCCACACTTTACTTCATCACATCCAGATTTGAGACAAGACAATAAATTATAGGGAAGTATAAAGAATGTAGTTAAATTCACCCAAAATCATAGACGGAGAAGAAGAAGGGGGGATAAGACCAATAAAGAAATATAGTTAGGATGAAAATAGTGATTGTGTGCATCTACAATACCTGGATTGATTTTGAACCATACCGCTTACGGTCTCCAACCACCTACATCCACTAACCTTCAAGCTGTACCTAGAAGTCCTCCGTACATGGTTTAGACCGAAAGTTCATTCATTAGTTATCGTTAGTATAAGATAACTTGAACAAGTTCCTTATCCGCACTTCATGTTGCTCGGTGTTAGACACTGAAACCAGATAGACATTGGCATGTAGTATTTTCGAACTATCCCACTTCTCACCCTATTGCGTGACAGTTGCCTTTTTTTAAAGATTTTTAGTATCTACTAGTAATAATTCACTCAAGAAGCATCTTTTATGAGCTGCTTACAAATTAATGATTGGTACTCAGCCTGTTATTTCCGTTTATCAATGTTTTTTTTACATGTATTCAGCATACTACCTCAATCTCTTGTTAAACTAATACTGATAAAAACATTCCTTTCAATGCATTTCAAACTAGGTTGGAGATAATATGGCCTTATTGGCATCTCTACAAGATTCGCCATATTTTAGTAGTTTTTCCGATAGATCGAATGCTTGGACACAACGTTTATCTGACTTGGATTATTGTCTAACTGGATTACAGTCAGTTCAACGTAAATGGGTTTACTTGGAACCAATAATGGGTCGCGGTGCGTTACCCAAAGAAACTGCACGTTATGCACAAATTGATTCACAATTTCGAAGATTACTAGCCAGTTTAAAAGCAGATAACCGTGTTATTAGTTTAGTCAGTGGTATGAAAGGTAATAGCTTAAAGGAAGAATTAAATAATCTACAGGTATGTTGTAATTTTTTTTCTGAGTAGTTCAGATGCACGTTACTATTTTGTTATATATTCTCTGTCGAAGATTATGTCGTAAGTTCTTCACAAAATGTTTTTTCACTCCTCTAGAGGCTTCAGGTATGCCATTTTGGTGAGTGCTAAAAAGCGCTAGGCCTTGATCCAGGGCTGCCTGCCGATTAGCTGCAACCATCTAAAATCTTTTTTTTCGCTGTACATAGTCATCCGATTTTACACAAAGTTTTGACAATGTACCAAAATAACAACAATTTTTAACATTCATATTAAATGAATATGATTTCTTAGTAACCTTCGTACCTGATGAAGGCAGAAATAATAAACATTATGTCTAGAGGAATTTATGTCTGAATGTCAGATGATTCTAAGCTATTTGTGCAAAACTAAAGAAGAATATTTTCGGAAGTTAGTCGATAGTCACGGTGGCAGTAACTACTTTTCTGTTAGCGGTTCCATTCTGTGGACCGATTTGAGAAGTGTTGGCATAATTTACTAGATAATTACCTATTGCCATTAGAAGAGAAAGGTGGGGAATTCCAAATCAGCAAAGTGCTTACTTTTCAGATTGTAGCAGTTGAGTGGATAAAAGTGTTTTTTGAGATTGAAAAATCTAAACAGATTCCCTCATCACTAACTCGGTAGTAGTACTAAAGAAATTCAGTTACAATAACGAACAAAAGAACCCATATGAGGAAATTAAGAAGTTAGTGAATACTACTATGAATAAAGTGAAGCAACGGTTAGCTGACCTAAAAAGTGGAACAATGCCATTCGCAAGTGGGTCTAACTGGTGAAATTTACTTTTTAGGGTTAAAAGCCCCAGTAGAATGCATGCTACCACTAAGGTTCATAAGTCAAGTTATCCTATTAGACATATAGTCGATTTGAGAAACATTCCAACCTATGAGCTATCTTAATATTTGGTAGCGACTTTTCACCACAATAGAAATTGTTCACAGTCGAGGTTTCATGAGTTTTTATGAACTAAAACAAAGAATATGGAAAATGGAATTAAAAACGATGAAACAATGGCTCTGATTTAACTAACCTCTACACTAGTATATCAATTTGTACGTCTTTGAAGCCATAAGAAATGGACTGAACAACGACAAACGGTCCACACTTAGAACCATTGTGTCAGTAGACGAAATTATTCTAAGTTTTCCTTGTGAAATCTGATAAAGTAAGATGGTTTTCAACAGCAAGAAATAACAGTAACACAATAGCATCGACTGCATATATATATATATATATATATATATATATATATAGTAATGTCAGGTTAAAACAAAGTCAGCATTCACACTGGAAATAAGCACACCAATCCTAGACAAAATTAGTGTAACAATAAAAGGTGGCCTTGTTGATAACTTTCTTCTCTGATGGCATTCAATATTATTCGGTCTATTGAAGAATGTAAAAAGCGGGGTATCACTTTGACAGCGAGAATCCGAAACTCAGCAGAAATTGCAGTACTAGACAAAAATGGTTAACTCTGATGTAGCTATCCTCTACTCTAGTATATCAGTTAACATAACTTTAAGGCAGTTGGAAATGAACTTAACGCTGACGAACACCTCACTCTTAGAACCAGAGTACCTCTGAAAAAAGTGTTCTAAGGGTGTATTTATGCCTAACTTCTACCATTTTCAAGTTTCAGAGTGAAGCACACAAACAAATAGAAGCAGTAGCTATGGAATCACCAGGGTCCCCATCCTAGGAGGTATGTTTATGGACAGTTGGAATCCGAGTATATCAACACATTTCTTACCGGCACAAACTCAGCAGTTGACTTAATTCACACATGAACTAGAGGGAGGAATGTGGACCAGTTTTGTTCTGTTTTAATATTTAAACGAAGGAAAGATGGTGGTCTAAATAATATTGAGTACCAAAAGCCATTCGGTATCAGTCAAGACAGATCTAGTCAACTGTCTAATTAAGAGTGTGGGAAGACGGATTGGGTTGGCTGAAAACCTATGTCAAGAAATGTTGAACATTAAAGATTTACTATTACTGAACAACTACGCCCTTCAGTTTATTCCTTAGGAACAATACCACGAATATTGCGATTGCAGTTACAAGCAGTGTTAATCAAAAAACCATGGGGAAATATTTTCGACCCTCCGTTGTCTTATCAAATGTCTTATCAGGAGCCCAAAATACAATTCTTTGTGAGACTGAGATCAGAGTGGCGTTTGAACTTATAAACTCACTTAGAAACTGACTTTGTCGTCAAAAGGATCCTATCGGAACGATTATGCAAGACATTTTGGTTTATCAAATCCTATGCAGTTACTGTGAGGTAAAATACATAGGTCAAACTAGTGATTAAGGGTAGTAGAACATAGAAAACTAGCCTAATACAGAATGACATATCCTATTTAGATAAGAAATCCAGAAAAATAATTAGCTGTAGTCATACATGCTGTCACACAATACGACGGGATACAGTGACAGTTTTAAATGATAACCTGGGTAGGTGGATTAGGAGATTGATAATTATACCTTTGTTCATCGAATCGAAACCTGGAGTACGTAATAGAAGTGATGCAATACCAGGTTTGGAAATGGGGGAAGTTTTACTACCAGTCAAATTAAAGACTAAAAAGAACAATGCGACTATAAAAGCCAAACCATGTAATTACCTCAATATGATAACAAGCAGTACATTGTTTTAGAAACGTCATCAGTAAATAATACTGTTTCACTGTGTAATACACATAATAAGAGAACAGTAATAGAAATATACCCTTCCATAGTGCGCAAATTATACTCTTATATTACGAATTTCGATATATGAAGTACATATTTACACCAGTGATAAATATTTTCGTGACTTTATGTCCATAAACGTAGTTGTAGATGTTTTGAAAAACGATAAAAGTTATATGATAAATGGGTTACGCAAAGTTCTTCTAAATAAAATAATATTCCCTTTTACTTAAATGTTCTTCATGTATGTTAATCTTCAAGGACCAACTTGCTCGATGTCAACGTGCATTAAATGAATATCTAGAAGAAAAACGCAGCATATTCCCACGTTTTTATTTTCTCGGTGATGATGATCTTTTAGAGATATTAGGCCAGTCAATGAATCCAAATATTATTCAAACACATTTAAAAAAATTATTTCAAGGTTTACATACTGTACAATTTGATTGTTATAATCAAAATGCTGATCAAGTGAAAAAGGATATGTGTAAACTGATGACAAATATTATAGCGATCTGTTCGTCAGAAGGGGAAATTGTTCATCTACAAAAGCCTATACAACTCACTAATGAAATTGAAGTATATCTAGAAAAGTTAACTAATGAAATGAAATCAACACTGAGTGATCTATTGATTCAATGTTTAAATGAATGTTCAGATGAAAATAAACGCAGATGTAAACTTGATCCAAATGCATATCCTGAACAAATTTTGATATTGTCTGAAGCAATCAACTTTTGTAGAAATGTTGAAAAAGCATTAAATTGTGGTGAACTAAGTAAACTCAAAAAAGATTTACAGGCATGTTATATTCAATTTTTTGCGTTTGCAAATTTTACATTTTACGTATAATTCATGACAGTATTCATTACGAAGAAACATGATTTTGTTAGTTCTGTCATCAGCATCCCAGTCTACGGTATCTCAATGGAATATATTCCTTGTGAGAACCAATCCATGATGTCTGTCTTTAAGCCACTGCTTTGGGACTTTCAATTTTGTGATAATTTCACAGTTTAGCGTGACAGTCCAGTAATCTTATCTTTTTTGACTTTGAATTGTTCTGTACGCTGCATACTTTGATTGAAACCTTAGGGAGATGGATTACATATGTGATATTACGCTAGAAAGTCCGATCACAATAAGGAGTAACTGGCAAGGGGAACAATGATCATTCGTCATCACTATCTATACTCCAGCTGGCTGCAGCTCGGATCCAGTTAATAGTGAGTTCTACTAGTAAGTGGGTAACCTCAATTAAGCTTTGTGCTCAGATATTGTGGTATCAGCTGTGGATTTGAATACTGAGGCTGTACATCTAGCTTCAAAGGAGGGGCATTTAAATTACCAATGATGATTAGTCGATCTGTAGTCAGATAGTGGAAACCATCTCTTGTAGCTTTTGGTGAACTCATCACAGTTGTACTTACTGATATTATCCATCTGCCACTTAAATTTGAGCTCGCGTAAATCATATCGTGATCACCTGCCAAAAGCGTGGATGTACTCAGTGACATATTTCCTTCTAGGGTATTCTCCTGAACTGTGATTGGGCTTTATTGCTTGCTAAATTCAACTCACTTTCTGATGGTTGTTGAAAGTGTCGTCTTAAACTGGTCTCAGTAATCTAACAGGTTACGCCTAGTATTTTAAACAAACACCAAACCGAGTTACATTAAAGATTAGGTGTTCAAGCCTCAAAATGGATAAATGAATATTGGCGGTGCCATGAAGACTGCAATTAAAGCCACTTTTGGTTTCAACGAGTATCTTCCTAATTAACACATGATCTCTGTGGGTTTTCTGTGACTTCTTGACACTAATCAGTCCATTCTCTTAGAAAGCGAAAACTTTGTACCTATGTTTGAACCATAAAGTTTATGCTGAAACCGCGCAAGTTAAAAGCAAAAGCTAAGTCTAGAGGCAGTCGAAAGCTGCTACAACTCATCTGGACCACCGGTAGCAAGAATTTTGATGCATTCTGTGTTCAACTACTAACCACATTTGAGCGAACTATATAATTAATCTGTAGGCATTGTCAAGGCGTCCATTTATCGATTCGATTCAGTATTACAACTGTGTGTTACAAGTACCAAAAAATTACAACCAAAATCTTTTGCACAAGAGGTGGCCCTCATAACTTGGTAGCCTAGTGGATAATGCACTGGAGTTCGAAGCGAGTTTCGGTGGGAACAACATTACTCAGTCGTATGAAGGCGTAATCAGCCCATGAGTCGCTTGTTCTGATTCCACTACTACCCACCACTAACCAAATTATGATCAACAACAATTCTTTTCAAGGATTTTGGTTAGATTAGTCAGAATGCTGACTGCATTATTTGAGAAGTTATGGCAAACTGAACTCATTTAATCACCCTGTTTTTGGCCATCCTTAAACAGGCCCTAAATAACGAATCTGATAATAATCGAGGCGTCAGCCTATTACCAGTTGCGTCCAAAATATTGGCTGATGCTGTACTTTATAGGCTTTAAAACCACTTCAGAAACTGATTCTGGGTCCTGTTAGGGTTATGAGTTCATCTATCACTTGTCCACCATCTGTAGGCCAACAGTTGTTGTTTTTCTATACTAGAACTGTCTTTGCTTAGTTGAACAGGACTTTGCTTCGAAATTGTGTCTTAAACATTAGTGTCTGTGAGAAGCTGATCAATTTCTTGAAAATAGTATTTAAAACATCACAGGCAGAGTGAATGCATACAACTACATATCCCTTCATTTACGCAAACAACCACTGCAGTTAGACCGATTTGCTCAATTTTAATTTCCTCTACAACTTTACACTCCATATCATGGTTGAACACATCCCTGAAGGAGATGCATGCTGCAGGTTTAGACCCTCTACTAACCAGGTGAAAGGTTTTTCAACTTGAAGTATTTGAGAAAAATTATTTTACTGTGAATTAACATAAAGGTTTTTAAAGTCACAGTTGTTTGTTTGCTGACAAGTAACCCTAAGTGTCGTATGTGTTTTGCATAAATGAAGAAAAAAGAAAATTTCAAGGGTGATATAAAGCCATACCGAACGTTAACCTCATTACTAGAGGCAACCTATGCAAACTGTCCACACAGTGGTGGGTGGTCGTGTGAGTTCAAATGAAGGCATGATATGTTAAATCTTCAAACATATATCCAAATCTGAAGCGGTATACAGCGATTTAGTGCAACTATGGTGCTGTCAGGATGCCAAATCGGCGATGAAACTTTGGGTGTCCAAAGCAGTGAGGCAGACAGTTATACTCTACACCCCTAAAATCTAGCTTCTTAAGTTAAGGATGTCCAACTATCTGGGCGTTTTATTAGCATTGTTTAAGATGAACTGATGGATTCCAGGGAACAACTCCAACTGGTAAGTTTGTAGTGTGACGGGAAGTACTTAGGAGTGATGGATGTCATCATTCAGTAGGCGAAACATCGCTTCGGTGTCTAAAGAGTGTGTAACATTGCAGTATCACAGGCTCCCACATCGCTTGCTGTTTGATAGGTCCACTAGTAAGAAGCAGAGATGACTTTTGCATGACCGGACAGTGTAGTATGAAGGTTAATTCTGTAGACCCAGTACTTTTTCGTGCATCACGACTTCCTGAGTGGGATCGAAGAGATTATGTTCTCCCAGTTTTTCAATGTCCCTCAAATCCATATCCATTTGTACGCAAAATTACTTGAAAATTAATTTTTCTGAAGATTGGATTAGAAAATACATGTTACGATGCTTATATTAACTGGTTGTTAACTAGATGATTGAAAAAGTTTTCTATTTAACATCAAACTTTCAGTATTCTACCTGTATTGTTTTCAGTGAAACGTCTTACAACATTATGAATTCACTGCAACAGCATGGAAGCTATCTTTAAGCCCACACTATGCAAATGGAGTGAACATCTACTATGACATTAGTTTGAACGACTACCTTACCAGTTGGCTGTTTGACATTTCAAGCGACTCAATTAAATTTTATCATTTTGAGTATATTACTTCTCATTTAATTTTCTTCTATAAGAGAAACTAATTTAAAATAAATTTTTATTATGAACTGGCAATAACTAACAGACTATCTAAAAAGCGAACACAAAGTGACTGTTTCAGTCAATTTCTAAACTCATAAGCTGTACGTATTCACAACTTCATGTGGGACCAGAAATTGGGTTCTCTGCCTGCTTTAACATTCTACCACTCTATTGGAATCCAAAGGTTGATGTTTTTGAGATGCATAACAGAAATAACTTAAAGAGATCGGCTCCTATCTTTAATTAGCGATATCGAAGGTAAACTAGCAGTTTTGCTTATTTATTGGTGGGATTATAGTTAACCTAACAAAATATCGTAGGTGTCTGTTATTATAACTTGAATTTGAACTGTAGATTCTGTATTACACTAACGCTGCTAAATAGAACTACTTTCAAGGCATATGCTATGAGGGCGAAACTTGGCACTACCGTAGAGTATAATTCTACAGTAGATTAGATTATGTGATATAATATGCAGCTATACAGTCTTAGTAATAAAACTGCATTGCATTATATCAGATAGCTAATCTGATATGGAATTATTGTCAGAACAGATTATGATGATTTTCTTCTCGCAAAGCTCAATAAATATGCTATAAGATTTGTGATTATGTTGTCTTGAATTTCACTCATTCTCCTTTTGTTTCTCTTATTTCTCATTAACAGTCACAGTTAGCAGCATATACTTCAGTTAACCTACACAATACAAAAACAAGTGATTATTGTACAAATTTAGCAGATCCAAACATTCAAAGTTCAATGTGTTCACGTGTACAAACTAGCAAATTAAGCTCGTTAATATTGGATACAATACATTCAATTGATATAATTGATCAACTAATACAAAACGGTGCAGTTACACAAAAAGATTGGGCCTGGCAACGTCAGTTACGATTTTATGCGACTGAGAAATTTGATTCTGTTGACAATAGTGTATTTAGAGAGAAGAACAGACATTTAATGAAAACATTTATCTGCATGGCTGATGCAGAATTCTTGTACACTTTTGAATATCAGGGGACTTCACCACGTCTAGTGCATACACCATTAACAGACAAGTGTTATTTGACACTGACCCAAGCTATGCGCATGGGTTTAGGTGGCAATCCATATGGTCCAGCTGGTACTGGTAAAACCGAGTCTGTTAAAGCACTTGGTTGCTTAATGGGTCGTCAGGTAAAAGCCAAATTTCTTCTTTTACTGTGTTGATTTTATGGTAAATGTGAGTGCACAGGATTTCCTTCCACAGATACGCTTTTAAAAACGTTAAGAAATAAAATGGAGAATTTTCTACTCTGTGCAACCCACTGGATGATAACATCAGATGAGAATTGGTTAGGTACTTGATGTGAGGATAGCAAGAAAGACTAGTCTGGAAAGAGACCAATCAAAATGTACTCTGTCGTCACGTCTACAGTTAGACAGACAGACCATGAATCAGTCAATCAACAGTATTATTTTAAACGGTGAATTATCTGTATGTTGGGGGCGACTTTAAAGGCCATCCTATTAACGATCGAAATAGTCAATTAGGTATCTTCATTTCGGCTGGAAAGGCAAATTTTCATAAAATACAGCAATCTGAATGATTGTTTGAGTTGTTGCTGGGGTGGCCAGTCACTGGTATATTAATTACACTTTTCTTTGTTCTGATCTTCGATCTTTCGACCCCAAAACATGTTTCTACACGTCCATCATGTCTTCTCCATTAATAAGTCGGATAGGAAATCAACTAAGAATATGTTAAATGCTTACAGCTGACATTCGGTATGCGCACATCGGCGACCATAGCAGTTTCCAAATCATTACAGTACTCTAGGGTGTATAATCAACCAACTTCTAATTTTTGAAACTGGAGTACAAGAAAAGTGTGCGAAAGTTGTATATTGGTTATAAATAATAAACTGTTTGAAAAGTAATCCAGTATATAATACTGTTTTATTGCGTGAAATGTTCAAAATAGTGGAGAATATTTGTGGCTCAGGTAGATGAACATGGTTAGATTGTGTTCTCTGAGCTAGGTTGTTTAATCATGACGATTTCTTCGTCTTTCTAGACGACATCATCAGCATTAACTTCAGTATGAAGTGAGCTGTCAACATCTCTCCGTAAGTGATTTAGTAGCTTGCCTTAACGAAGTGATCTGTGATTGGTTGTTTCCTTCGATTGTTGTGTCATTAACTAGCTGTTCTTCTGCTCGACTTCTGACCTTTCTGTCGTTTATCACTTTTCTCTTACTGGTTGATAGATTGGGTCTATGTCTATCCATCCGTGGATTGCTGACTGACCTGAATGGCATGCTTCTAGGAATTCTCTGGTATTCTTTGTGTTTCCTCTGTCCGAAATTTCCACAATGTCGAAATTGAATTCATATCCATAATTATCCACATGCATTGAAGTGAGTGATGAAGTGTCGTGATGTTTAGTAGCCAATTGGTGCTCATGTAGACGAAGGCGAAGAGGGCGACCACTTTGTCCAATGTAGTGTTGACTGCAGTTATTGCAATTGATTTTGTGAATGATATTCGGTTTGTCCACTTTGGTTGTTGTATCCTTTGGTCTGGATAATAGTGTTTGGAGGTAATTCGTTGGTTTATGAGCCACAGCCCTCCCACCAAGTGGTCTGAGTAATCTTGTCGTGATTTCTGACATTCTTTATGTATGGTAGGATGATGTGTCTGGTGATTTCCATCGATGACTTTGTAGTTGATGATGTGTGGGATAGTCATCTTCTAATACTGTTTGGTGGGTAGCCGTCCTTCTTCAGGGTGGAAATCAAGTAATTTTCTTCGTTTCTCTGTGAAGTTGTTGTGCTGCAGTGTATTCTCCCTCTTTTGAATGGAGTCTGCAGGCAACGGATCTTGTGCGTTGTTGGGTTGTTGCTACGATAGTTGAGGATTTGATCAGTGTGTTGGCTTTCTATACACTTGGTTTCCATTTTTCCTGCATGGAATTTTCATGCATGAAATCCCCCTTATGAATTTGAAAAGAGTCAGAATAACAATTGGAGCCGGATTACATGGATGCCTAATATTTCGTTGGTGTCTAGCCAACTGATTACTATCCAGAAAGCCATATAGTTTTGTCGAAAATCTAACATACATTAATTCATTGGAAAAAAATCCAGAGTACTGATTGGTAGTTGAGATAGCCAGAAATAGTTACAGCTTAGTGATAAATCGAATCATCACAATCATACACAATGCAATTGAAGTTTCTCAAAAAATATATCGAGAAGAGTAGCAACCGAAATATTAAGAAAGTTAAGATGTAAGATTACACAGGCAAGTCATTCGATAAATTAGTTACTAAACAAAATATGCAAATATTGTGAATAAAGCAGTTAGTTGAAATCAGTTCTTATGAATACATTCGATTTCTCGAAAGATGATGCGACTAAATAATGGAGATTTAATAAAAGACAATGTAATCAAGTAAAAGTCAGGAACAGATTACCATGGTGGACAAGGTTGACTACAGCTTCTTTGGAACTTATAAATCAGAATTATAGTGTTTAGTTACTGTGGTTTCAGTCAACCTCAGGAGAATTGAGGTAGTTTGTTTATCTTAAAGGGATTGAAGAGGTCTATGTAATAGCCTATGTCAATCAGATGCGAAGTGATTGCGCTTTTCACTGTTATCTCCTCGTAGTCGTTGGTTTTTAAAATAAGTTCAAGAAATCTAAAACAGACCCTTCTCTCTGTTCTTTAAATGCATATAGTTCTGTAGCCTCGCGTGAACTCATATAAATAAAGTTGGAAGTAGCATAAAGAGGATAGCTGTCGACCTTTGACTGAACTAATGAAACATTGTATAGTACACAATAATCAGCCTGTCGGCATAGAAAGTTCTAGCCAGTGATGTCTACTGATACGTTCTGCATTGTTGTCAGCTTGGAAGTTGAGGTGAATGAATGCAAACATTTGGCTTACTGTAGTTTTCTTCAACTTCCTGCCCTTCATTTTGTCATACATGTTGGCAAGTGTTGGCCGGTATTCCTTGTCCCGTAGGCATCTTACAAAGATTTTCAACTCTCCCTCCAATTTACCGCTGGAACATATAATTTTTACTCTATCCAATAGCGTTTCAACTAACACCCGTTTGTGGGTAATGCGACAAAAGCTACGAAAATCCAGGTAGATATCATTCCATGTGCTTTTTCGAAGAATGGACCTTAGGAGCCTATCATTTGTTCTACGTTGTACTGAGATACTCATGAAAGTAAACTTCTCATCTTATTCATATTCCATGATGAGCTAATTATTGTACTAAGTGCCTATAAAACACTTCAAGAAATGCAATGCAATCGATAGATTATTGCAAACAATAAAGGTGTATCTTTTATACCTGGCGTACAATGTCTTTTTCCCGATGGGATCTATAACTTCAGCATTTTCTAGATTCTCTGTAAAGATTCCCGTCGATGTATCACCCACTGGGTTCTTGTGAATATGATTATATCTATCTGTCTTAACTACTAACCGACATTCTGTTTTCTTTTAGTGAATAAGAGTATGTTGAATATTTAATTAAACTATTTAGTGTGACATTCTGGGTTGCAAGCAGTTGGGAAGGTACCGCCAATATCACATCGATCCGTCTTATCTTGCTCCAGTAGTTGTTCTTCATCTTTTCAAACAATATGATACTAGTTAGAGACGTATGGACCCAAACTCTGATTGGTATTTTGCATAACATGGAAATCACTGTAATCTGGTCATTAAATGTAGACGAAAAAAGAAATCAGTGGTCCCATTAACACATTTGAGCAATATCCCACTGCTTATTCAGTCCAGTAGTTTATTCTGTAAATTTCTGACACTTGTGTTTGAAATTATACATTCAGATCTTGGTTCGTTGACTTCAATGGAAACCGCTTTTGATCCAGTTGTGAGAAACAGCAACACAGACAATAGAATCCCCAAATAATGCTAAAATTTTCAGTACATTTGATTTTGGTTTGTTATAACTTGAGTAAAGTGAAAGAGCAAACACAGTGAAAGTGTCTTTGATCACTTTTGAGGTTTTGTCATAAAATAAATATGTTCTGTCATTAGGCATGTTCTTCATTCAAGTTGAACTCGTAAAGCTTTCCTTTGAAATTTGAATTTCCACTGTGACAGGGTTCATGGCGTTATTACCTTGCTTTAAAACGGTGTAGCTGTTTGTGTAATTCATGTAGACTGCAGCTGTAATTCACCACAACAACAAAATGTTTCACAAAGTTTTTTTGACTGCCACTCAAACCCATTAGCTCGCATAATGTCTGACTAACTGACAAAGTCAACGCAGAACCTCGCTTTGGCTCAGGTTGCCACACTTCGCAGTAGTACACAAAGAACAGACAAGTTGACGATAAAGGTCAGTGCGAATATAAGGCTTTAGAAGATGTCAAGGAGTGAATACATCTGCACCATTGTGACTGATTTTCAGTCATATCACTAAAAGCCCTTAACCACTGATTCCCTTGGTCTCAGGGACCCCAACCAGGTAGTCTACGTCTCCCCACACGGCTTTACACTTTACAAGATTATAAATATTTTTTTTATCTGTTAATAAAACATTCAAAATTCTTACTATCATAAGCTACATTTTTTTCTCTCACTCTCTTTCTGTGCATGTATCAATTTCAGGTTCTTGTCTTTAACTGTGATGAAGGAATCGACTTACGTTCTATGACAAGAATTTTTGTTGGTATAGTAAAATGTGGTGCTTGGGGTTGTTTTGATGAGTTCAATCGATTAGAAGAATCCGTTCTGTCTGCACTTTCAATGCAGATTCAGGTAAGCATAACTTCTAATAATTTATTTATTTTAACAAAGCTAGTACAAAAATCTTAGAATACCATGAATTCATTGTATTTCGTCACCTTTTCTTCAAATGTATACAGGCTTTAAATTCTTAAAATATATATAAAAGAATCAGTTGTATGGAATTTACTTTATCATTATTTATCAGTTTGTTTCGGAATTTTAGTACCAAGTAAAAGTGTTACACTATTCCTATACATATACATATGCCACGTGATTTCATTGTGTCAGAATTATATATTTAAGATTTGTAGATTATTTTTCTTTGGGACTCTGTGAATCTTGAAACGAGCCATTGAGCCATTTACCACAACCATTTGTATGCATCCTACGGTATAAGGAGTAACCCAATGGTTACATTACACAACCCTAATGACGGAGTAAAATGAACAGTACAAATCACAGTATGCTATTAGATATCATCCAATGATAAGTTTCCCACCTCACTTCGGTTGAGAATCACCTACTGAGTGGACAGCTCATAGGTAGGTGCTGAGCGATATGGAGTCAAAGTTTCTGATGAGTACAACTTTCTTAGAACTTAAGTGAACGCCTACTTTGGATGCGTAGCAATATTTATGAATTCTAAGTTAAATATGTCCTTACATTGATTGGTCACTGGAGAGGAACTAACTTAAAGTTGTTTAGTCCTAGAGGCTGATCGGAATCTACCGATCATTTTGCAATATGGCAACGAGACTAGGCAGCTCGGCATTGAGATGCACTTTCATTGATGTTGGTTGGATGGAGGCATTCGGCAGGAAGTTCTTGGTCTAGGTTTCGTGCGTCTTGGCGCTTGTCAGCAAAGCGTATCTGCTACCTCGACGGAACTGATGTCCCACCTGAGATTCGAACCCACGTCACCCAGTACTGCAGTCAGCGAAGTTACTAATGAGCTGTCCGGGCTGCGACTGACTTTCTGTAGGACTGGATTAGATACATTTATTGGTCCCTGGAGAGCAACCAACTTCATGTTGTCTAGTTCCAAGTCCTGGTTGAATTCTGTCGCTGCAGTTAGCGACGTTGCCTGCAGCACTGGGCGACGTGGATCTGAATCTCAGGTGAGACATCAGTCCCATCGAGGTTGCAGATACACCTTGCTGACGAGTGCCAAAAAGCACGAAACCTAGGTCAAGAGCTTCTTGCCGTTTGCTTCCATCCGACTAACATTACGTATATTCTTTTATATCTACAATCTGAGGCATGCATATAAGCATTCCCACTAAAATGAAATTATTCAGCTTAAACGAAGAAGATGGAATAATGCACAGCGACTGATTTGCCTTAGCTTATTGTTATTTGAGAAATATGAGCTGTGCGGTAATGAGCAATGAGTTAAAAAGATATTCAGCTGAGATATGTGATAATGCTGTTAGGTCTTAAGTAAAATATTTTTTGAGATTCCCGTTTTCCTTTCTTCCATTGGTATGGCATTTGTTTACGAATAATATTTATTGCAAATTTGTGGTAACTGAATAATCATGGGAAAAAAGAGATGACTGAACTTTTACTTCGGTCTAGTTGGCAACTTTCTAGCTCTTCAATGCTTCCTCATCTTCGGTTGTTATGTGACAGATTTCAGTCTTAGACCAGGTAACCAGATATGTAGTGTGGAGTTTGACTTTTTTCCTACCGATTGTTTTGTTAACTCTCTTATCGTAGTAGACCGTTTTCTGTCTCATATATCTCATAGATACTTCTGTTTCTCTTCCTTGAATTCTTTACACAGATTATTCAAGATGCACTAAGATGTGGCACATCACACATTAACCTTTTGGGTCGTAATACAAATGTTGATCCTAATTCTGGTATATTTATAACGTTAAATCCAGCTGGAAAAGGTTACGGTGGACGTCAAAAGCTACCAGATAACTTAAAACAACTATTCCGTCCGATTTCAATGACAAAGCCAGATGTCGATTTGATTGCTGAAATGATTTTATTCTCTGAAGGATTTTCAAACGCTCAAATATTGGGTCGTAAACTAGTTTCTGTTTTTTCATTGGCCAAGTAAGCTTTCTGTTTATTGAAGCATATTTTAGACGTCATTTAGCTTTATTCCAGTTCCATTACTCAAATTTTTCGAAATACTTCAGTATTCGACCATCTATAAGCTTATTTTCCCGGGGTTTTTAGGGGTGACTGTCTTCATTTTGTGATGAAAATAATTCATGATTCTTTCGGAGTCCTAGTCTTAGACAAACATTTGAATTTCAACACCACCAATTATACAGAGATCTCATTGTTTTGAATAAGGCTCAATTCGCTACCTTCTGTAGTGTACTGGTACTCTCAAGAATAATAATAACAAGGAAGGCATCATTCCACTTCGTGATTCAAGAAGTCTTATGAAATTCAATCTCCTTGAAATGGGTTCCTGGCAAGTACATTACCTCCCGAAAGTCTGTATGTTAGAACAATTCTGAAGTGTTTAGGTCACCTGTTGTTAGCCAGGGGCCTCCATTCTCTTCATTTCTACCTAACTTTGTCATGAACTTTCCATGTAACCTATTAGAAGTTTATTTCATCCTAAGAACTTCCCTAGTAATTTTAGAGTACACAGTTTGTATAGACCTGTTATATTAAGACATTGACAATTCCAAGATTGTTTGGTGATGCTCAAAACTAACTTTTCATCTTCAGATACGAATTATTACTTTACGTTTGGTTTACATCTATATCCCATCATAGTATTATCGACATATCTATATAGTCTGACAGCAAACCTATTGCAGCCTCCAGCTCAAAATGAGAATACCTCAAGGATAACCTATTTGGTTTTCCGCATCAATGTAGAAGCCTCAAATAGATTTTTATAAGTATTTTAACGAAAAGAAATTAAGGGGCTATCAGGAAATACATAGTGGATGAAAAGTTTAAAGTTATAAATCCGGATAAAGAAGTAAAGGTAGTTCTTTCTGATAAGAACAGCTACATAAACAGTATGAATTATATCCTGAATATAAAACTGAAATTTCATAAGTTCAGTAATCAAAACGAATTGAATCGTAAATAAAAAATGAATCGACTAAATTCGTCAAAAGGCTGAAATGGCGAGTGAAAATTACACCGGGCTTATAGAATTCACTAAAATTCACAGGTACCTGATTACCAAGATCATATGGCCTGTGTAAAATGCATAAACCAGCTGTAAAGCTTGTTGTGAAAAATTCACTATATCATGCCTAGGCAAAATGGTTAGTCACTATTTTGAAACCCTTACACGAACAGATATTAAGACACAGGGTTAAGGGTGGATTTGAATTAGTAGAGAGATTCAAATATGCTAACATCGTGAACAGATTAATGGGTCTAATATCTCTATTCGTAGATTTTTTGCTTGTAGAGACAGTTGATTACATGTATGAACAGATGAAGGAAAAGTCTGTAAATTTTGGAATTCCACTTTATGTACTTATAGGATTTCTGCTGAAATGCATCACAAATATTAACTTTGAATTTAACTACAAACCATACGAACAGGTGGGTGGAGTTACAATGCAATCACAACTCACCCACACATAAGCAGAGATTTTCTTGGCTAAACTACAAGACTGTATGCTGAATCAGTTTATTGAAAAATTTCCATTTTTATATCGATATATAGATGATACATTTATAATATGCGAGAAAAAAAGACAGGATAGACATGTTTAACAATTTCGATGAAGTTTACTCAGTGATAAAGTTCATGTATGAGGTAGAGTCTGAAGTCAAAATATCTGTGTTCTGTCAAGAAAAATAAGTGAGTCGATTATGGGGAATTTGCGTCAGAAAAATATGCGGAAGGGACACTACAAACATTTACTACAATTTGTTCCTCTTGAATAAAAATTCAGTCATCAAATAACAGATGCATTTTCAGAAGAAGTAATGACTTTAAACAGCACGCTATTCAAAGACAATCGTTCCGATCGATTCATGAAGATAATAATAACTACATAAATGAGGAGTCTCCCTACTACTGAAAAAAGCCATTATACAAACCGTCAAAATTTAGAGGTGATATACCCAGTGAGATACACAAATTCAATCAAACAACTATTAATACTGTTCTGTTCTTTGCACACAGTTGCGACATAGAGATTTGCGAATAATTTAGATTCAGAAATTTCTGTTTTATTTATCATTTCGACTGCTCCCATGCAGCCAGTTACGTTAGTCGCTTCCCTTGTAATTGTATTTTCCATGCTCTTGAGTACCTCAGGAAATGGTTAGACTATGGTGTTACAAGGACCAGTTGTATGTTAGCCCAGTTGGTTCAAGCAAAAAATCCAATGTGCATGAATAAGTCATTTCCGATTATTTACAGGGTTCCAACCAACTTTTCAGAAGACCCTGAACCTCAAGTCTTCCAAACTACAGAAGTAATGACAGTTTAACTGAACTATTTGAGCTTGCTTTTGGATTAATAAATTTCTACTTTTGATGCACACAAACGTAATGTTGAAAAGACACCAACATTTTCCAAACGATAATAAATTTTATGTTAACGAGGGAAATAAAATTGAACCAATTGAACAACAACTCACGGACATTCCTGAAATACTGAAGGGTGATCGAATAATTAAGGTATATCCTGATGAACGCCTCAGGCTGACAGTACCAATAATTCCTTGACTTTACGGCCCACCGAAAGTTTGCAGACCTGATCTGCCACTTCGTCCAGTTTTGGATATATCAGAATCAATCTTCCATCTGATTGCAAAGTGACTTTCCAGAATTCTAGAGCTTGTAAGGAGACAGCTATCCAATCACTCTCCCCGCTAAACTTTCGAATTTATCCACTTCATAAGAGAACTGGAAGTAACTGAAAAACGCATATTATTACTTGACGTAGAACTTCTCTTCGCCAACTTGCTCTTCTCAACGATGTTTATGATATGAATATTTACATGACAGCAACCTGAGTATTGGAATATTCACTCCATACCTAAAAGAACTGTTGAAATACACTTTTGACTTTGAATCTTCCTTCAATGACTTGACCTATCGTCAAACAGATGGAATCACTAAAGGTTCTCCTCTTGGTCGGTTACTGGCAGATTGTTTTATGTCGGGTTTGGTTAGCAGTTAGTAGTTGAGAATACTTTCGTGTACAAAATGTATTCTGTCGATATCTTCATAGTTTTCCACGATGAGTGTGACTTAAATTCTGTTTTGCATGTATTTAACTGTTGGTACTGCTCAGTTAAATTCTTGCTGGAAGTACAAAGGCAATCAAAGGTTCTGTTTTGGGATGTAGATATCTCTAGAGGAAATGATGGGACATTAAGGACATCCATCTACAGCGGTGATGTGGTCGGCTGAGGAATTTTTACAGTTGGGTGCCTACACATCAAAAAAGAAGCCTTATCGTGTCACTTGTCCACCTCACTCAACGAATTTGCAGCCTGGATCGCTTAGAAGAAGAACTTATGTTTCTTAAAAAGGTTTCAACTAAAAACGTCCACCCATCAGCACTTTTTGAAAAAAGCATAAGACCTAATTCACAAAGAGAGGTACTTATTTCAATTTCAAAGAGGATACTATTTATGAATCTTGACTTCAAAGGTGACTCCATCACTGATAACTTGAAAAAAAAGAATTTCAAACTCACCAAGGAAAACTTTCTTTGCTCCAACCTTGAGAATTGTATTTTCCAGCCATCCAATGACTCCTTGCAACTCAAAGGATAAGCTTCCGTATCCAACCACTTCTATGTGCGGTTATCGTTTAACCTACACTTCTTCAGCAAGGTACGTAGGCTGTTTGATGTGTTTTTTACAAATGGATTAAAGATCATTACCTTGGCTAGCTGCAAAGTCATGCGACTAGATTCATCAGAAGTACAATAGTTGTGCACCTTGTCAACATTGGCCAGAGCATCAAAAGTGACTCCAGGTTCAACACCAACTTCAAGGTGAAAAAAAATTTGTAGAAAACAGTACGTTTCTGTGTTCTCTGGACTGTAGAATTTCTTACCATATTCATAAAGATACTGGAATTATGCGCGTAAAAGAAACTTGTCCAACCTTTGTTGATACCTTGGGTGTAGTAAATAGTTTAAAATGTCAATCTTTTTCTCCCTCTTAATATTAACAACTTCATTACATTTTATTTCATATTTTAAAAGCCTGGCATCGTCCTCATTTTGTTTCTGTGCTACTGTTGATCGTGTTTTGCATATTATGCAACGTTGTATTCTATCATGTTATGTCCGTTTCGACGCTTTTTTATGACTAGCTATTGCCTAACGTCACACTTCTGAACCTTTCACCTTCATTCTACTTGATTTCTGTTACAAGGTTCAACTTAATAATGTCTGTAACTATCCATTGTAGTAGAGCGAAAACGTATAAATTGTCACTGTGCAGCTGTAGAGAATGAAGATGTCGAAAAAGATATCTTCGATGAACTCGTTTCCCCTAACGTCCTGGTGGGTATTTTAGGCAAACATTTTAAGTATCCTATCACCCGAAACTTAATATTGAACTTACACATTGTACATATCCTTCCATTTCTATAGCCTTAAACTGTTACCACTTTTAGTTAGCCTATTTTTGTGCTCATACGTTTATATCGGTTTACTTAAATTAGTAATCTTCAAATTAAGATTGAGATATTAAATGGAAAGGCTCGCATTTATTCTCATCCTTTGCATTCGTATATATGTGAAATCTCGAGAAGTAGGTTTTTTGAGGCAGTTTAAACAGACAATAATAACAATAGTAGTAGTAATGGCTGTTAAAAGTACTCATGATCATAATTAAAATGCGAATGACAACAAAGTGGACGGGAGTGGAAAGAAAAGCTTTTAGATGCTTTGTTCTTTAACATCCGACCGATTTTTACCACTCAACAAATCCAGACAGTGACTTTAAAATCACTTATCGAATTCACTCAGATCTCCTACGTTTTCTTCGTTTTCAACTTCTTCAAACAGCGAAGTTCCTACACTGAATATCCTGTCTGTAGCAGCAGAATGGGAATCAGTCGGTCCCTCACGTTATTTATATTTCAACAAAGCA